TGCAGCGTCAACAGACGTGCCGCACGTTAGTGCCCATTCGCGAGCGCGACCTCCAAGCCTGGAGATAGCCAGCGCCACGCGCTGATGCTCAGACTGGAGCAGGGCCGATCCCATGGCCATCTCGACCTCACGGGTCCAGAGAAGGAGATTCTCTCCATCCTTCCCCTCGAAGGTTTTTACGCTCACCATGAGCGGTTTCAGTCTCATAGACTCTTCACGCGTCATCGACGCCGCCGCCGTTGCGGCGCTCATCTTCTCTTGGACATGCTCCAAGAGCGCGTTCTCGTAGCGGGAGAACGATTCCAGCCTGGCAGTGACCGCCTCTGGACCTTGCGATGCAAGATGAGCCACGCCCTCCGGGCCAAGCAAGGACATAAGCTTAGTAAGCGCGTCCTGTTGCGCCGGGGGCAAATTCGCGAACACGGGGTGTTCCATCCTCGCAGAGGATATAGTCAACCGACTCAGGAGCGGGATTGACTACAAGTGCTACCACTTGCAGCGGGGCTGCCGTAGCTTTAGCGTCAGAGGAAGACGTTCGACTCAAAGAGTCACTAATACTAAGTTCCTTATCCAAAGGACACTTACAGCCCAAGACCAGGGCTCAAAGTTAACACCTTAACTTTTATGCTTCAAAACCAGAAGCGTTTTATTTACTATTATTGCGGCCAAGCCGCCTAGAGATAAATGTATCTCTTTAACTATCTAGCATAGTTAAACCTAATCAAATGCATAACGTGTGGCTTTCAGCCAACGTACTGAGAGACCTTGTTAACTCTCCAACTTATGTACTGAGAGTTTGTTAACTCTCCGGGTACTTCGTACCCCTGTGTGCTCCACACCATGTAACCCCGTTACACAGTCAGTGTTGGCGGGCCGCCGAGTTTAAATCACTCGGCGCGTAAAGGTTTTGCAGGTCTTCTGGCAATTGCGACTTGTCGACAGAGTTTTTCACGAACGCAGCCAGCTTCTCATATTGACGAAACAGCTCGCACTGGCCGCCTTCATGGACTTGTCTGCAGAATTTGCAGCGTCGTCGACAGTAGTGAGCCGAGTGCCCTGTTCTTCCACAGGCAGCGCAAGGTCCACGCTGTGAGCTGTCGCGTGATCCATCTCCACGGTTCGACTGTTCTCGTTGGTTGTACGGTCGCGGAGGTCGGTTCGCTGAGTTTCCCCAACTTCGATTCGAGCCAATCTGGTCTCCCGCCGAGTTCGCTCGGCGGTCCGGTGTATTTCCCTTATCATTGAAAACGCCGGCGTCTATGTAGTCGTCGTCTTCCGCTGAGTCGTGTCCTCCGGACTGGTCCTCATCATCCCATTCGTCTTCGGAGTTGTACGGACTCGGCGGGTTCTGATCGATGAGTTCCTCCCCGTCAGAGTCAGCGTCAACGACAGCGACTCGGCGGTCGCGGATTTCTTCCTTGCGACTGCGCTTCTCATATCGACGTCCATCTCGGCGTTCATCACGGCGGCTTTGGTCCTTCCGCTTGTCGTCTCGGCCTCGTGCGATCACGAGTCGGTCGCGTTGCTTCTTGCGTTTTTCACCGAGGATCCGACGATTGATTATCTGCTCCACCTTACTGATGTCGTCCAACTGCAAGGGGTACATCAAATCCATCACATCGTCATCACCACAATGCAGCAAGAAGTGTTCGACATGATCAGCCGCGTCGGCGACACCCTTCTCGTACTGGATCTTGGCTGTCCGAGCGTACCCGTTGAGTCGGATCAGGAAGTCGCAGATCGGTTCGTTGACTTTACGTCTCGCCGAGTAGTAACGAGTGCGGGCGGATTGGTCGAACTGCGAGCAATAATAATCCAGGAACGCCTCGCTGAGTAGTTTCCAACGTCGCTGAGTCTTCTTCGGCAGCTGCCTATACCAACTCTTCGCCGCGCGTCCCAAGCATAGCGAGAAAGGTTCGCACCAGGCACTTTGGGACATCCTGGTGCTCTTCATCTCGTAGATGAAGCGCTTGAGCCACTGGAGCGACGCGTCAGAACGGTAGCGCTTTCCTTCGAACTCGGCGATTTTGTCGAGTGAGGCGTGAGTTCGGACTTCTAGGTACTGCGTCGAGTCTTCTTCAGCCGCGTCGAAGCTCAAGTGTCGGATGTAGTCCTTCACGGTTTCCTCACGGTTTCCTCTCACGTCGAAGGCGTCGTCGTCTTCTTCATCCTCCTCGTAAGCTTCAGCCTCGTCTGCAGCGTCATACAATTCACGGTAGCGACCAACATTCCGCTGTCCACGACTCGGCGCTCGCTGAGTCGGATTTAGCTTCATTGGAGTCAGCATGTGGGAGTCTTCGAAGTACGGAGTCCCTTGCGTAGCGCGGAACACTTCACGTCTCTTCGTCTCCGGAGTCTTCGGCAGAGGAATTTTGCTTGGGTCTTCGCCGAGTGGTTTGAACTCGGCTACTCGGCTGTACACCTTCTTCGTTCCACCAGGGGCCTTCTCCAATCCAAACGCCACTCTCAACTTCTTCTTCCATTGCCAGAGCTCAGCTCCGCCACGGGTCAGACTCCAGTCGGACAGGATGAGGCTGTTTGGTCGGCTGTTGCACCGATAGCCCATCGCCTTCAGCAGCAACACAGTTTCTTCCACCAACTGATTAAAGTTGGCTGCACGCACCGGTTGAGTTAACTCGGGACCCAACATCGGCCACTTCGCCTGCGCCATCGCCTCCGGCGCGAACATCATCATCCATTCCGATCTCGTTCTCATCTCCTCGCCGAGTCGAGCCAACACGTTATTGGCGCTCGGCGTATCGGCGTTCCTCGTCGCTTTCGGAATAAGGGGCGGACGGTCCCCTTGAGCAACGCCATGCTCTTCTTCATCTTCTGCGTCGTCCGCACCTTCGTCGAGCTCGGCGGATAAGTTGCGCTCGACAGGACGGGGGGGCTCCCATGCGTCCCACCTGCAGCGTCAACTCTTCCACCTCTCCAAGTAGCTCGGCGGTAGTCTTCGCTTCTCCGAGCTCAGCGGTCTCGGCCTTCTCTTCATACTCTCCTTCACTTTGCATTTCCGTTCTCGCTCTCCTGGTCTTGGCCATCCTCGTCGAACTGGACGGTTCGTCCCACCTCCATCGTCATGGCGATGAGTCGTTGATCCGCCGGGTCCGACCCCGCGAGAGGCGATCCTCCAGCCGTCGCTGGGCTTCCGTCGCTCGGAGTTGCTGATCCCTTGACCATCTTCACTCTTCTCTTTCTCTTCTCTTCCTCTTCTCTTAACTTGGTTAGCTGGCACCTATAAAAACAAGCACACACTCCTGTTCCCGGGTCGCGGCACCAGTTGTGGTGTAGTAGAACACACAAATACCGTCAGATGTGGATTCCTTACACAAACCACAACAATTCGCCGAGTTAGGTCGGCGGTTGTATGGCCTGCGCAGAGGGTGGTCCCCTCGCGGTCCGGCCCTTCCGGGACAGACGAGTGGCTCGCTTCCACTCGGTTCCGACTAACCAAGTCAGATCACTTCCGAGGCTCCGCCGAGTTTGGTTCGGCTGAGCTCGTTCACAACCCTGTGCCCTCCACCAAAGGATGGACGACGGCGCGCGAGCGCTTTTACAGGTCACCGAGCGCAGAGACTGCTCAGCTAGAAGTGTTACGGCACCCGGGCTATCCGACGTACCGGCCCGCTGAGTGTGCGGGACTTCCTTTCGCGCGTAGCGAGACTTTGTCCTACCCGGACCGACCTAATCTCTTGGCGCTACCAGTCAATACCCTACAAGCTATGCCTCTCGAGTACTGACGGCAGGCATAATCCAGCCCTATTCAGGGACTTACCGGAAAAGTGTACACGTGTCTTGGACTAGGAAAATTCTGCTCTGTTATCTTCTGGGAGCCTTTTCGGCTCCCCCTATTTAATCTTATGCTTCCTATACAAATATCTAGTGAAATGTAGTCGTTTCGGATCTCTATCGACCCTTCAGCTGAGTTCGGGCGACCGTTGAGCTCAGCGGCTATCCGGATAGCATATTCGGACAGATCGCCGAGTACTTACCGTGATCCTTTGTTCTTAAGCTCTGGGTTATGAGACCGAGCCGATTCTTGACCTAAAGTAGGTCGGCGTATGGTCGAATCTGGAAATCCCTACACCACACTGCACACCCTCCCACTGGCGCTGTACAGCGTCCGTCACAAGTGCCTGCACTGCTAGCTGAGCTGCAACATCAGCTAGGACAGGTACTGCAGGCGGCTTCTCTTCCAGCTCCACTTGCTGCGAAGTAGCCAGAGTACCATTAGGGAGGTTCAGTCCTGCTTGATCATCGTCATCCGGGCTCGCAGGAGACGTGGGCGAGTACACTGGTGACGCATTGCCAGTTAGGTCCACAGTCTCTGTGGCAACTTGCCGCACACAACGACAATCCAGTTGTGCACCACTCTCACCTTGAACGACTTGTACACGGCGAACAGAGCCAACGAGAGAGGCCAAGTAAGTCTATAGTAGACATCAATAAGATGCCGTTCACTGCGGCAACACTTGTGCAGTGGCTCACTGCCAACCATGTCTCGATGCATACAAACATCAGTATGTTTGTACTCGGTCCCGCTGCAGTCGCGAAGCCGGTGGGCAGCACAGCCGCATTGCCGTGCGTATGATCGAGAGACTTGTACCGTAGCATGTATCGTAGGGACTTCAACTCATAGACAATCGACTCAGGAAACAATCGCGCAATTTTTAAAAAAAAACCGGCGGGCACACCGCCAATACTTGTACAGTACTGCACCCCGTTTTCGCGCCCTTGGACCTTTGATAAACTTTCGAATGTAATGACTGTGAATTCAAATTAGCAATGATTTGTAAGCAAAAGTCTGATGTATTTGCAAATCCTATCTGGTCCACCCCCGCGAAAACGGGGTGCAATACTGTATCCAACTCTGACAGAAAGAAAGTTGGTTAGGAGCTAAGGCTGTCCCAGTTTAACTTGTCTTATATTTAAGAATTAAAAAATGTATTCTTTTTTTCTTTTTTACTGCAATCAACCGGTATAGTCAGTTGTTGAACCGAAATGAGGGATGTTCCGATAATGACCGAGGTGAGCGACGAGGAGCTGGTGGGAGGGTGGAAGCCGCGCCTAGGACCGCTGTCCGTGGCCGACAAGGTGGAACAGGCCGAGCTTCTCAAGCGCCAGGGTAACCTTCACGTTAAACAAGGCGAGCTCAAGCGCGCGCTGGCATCCTACGCCAAAGTGTTTGCTTACGTGAACGGCCTTTCCGTGGCTGGTGACTCTATGTCCCAATACGCGCAAGGGGCAGCAGGAATGACAGCTACACAGCAGCAAGGCTCGCAAATCCAAGCCGTCAAGGTGGCCGTGTGGGCCAACATGGCGCTGTGCTATTTGAAGCTCGGCACGCAGCCGGAGCGGGCGTTAAGCTGCTGTGACAAGGTGCTGGAGCTCGAGCCGCAGCACAATAAGGCACGCTTCCGCAAGGCACAGGCCATGGTGCAGCTTGTATACTACGAGAGCGCGTACAAGCTGCTGAGCGAGCTGCTGGAGGAGGAGCCCAAGAACGCTGCCGTGCGAAGCGAGATCCGAGCGCTACAAGCCAAGAAACGGGCATACGACGCTGAGGCCAGGGCGAAGGAGAAGAGCGCATTCGGCAGCATGTTTTAAGTAAGACAGAGAGTGGCGTGAGGACAAAACTGCTGATTCAATGCAGGAATATAAATCGTTTACTTATAGTAGCGGAGAGGTGTCACTCGTGTTGTAGTCCATGCTGCTCCTACGTCCGGAAGAAATGCGGTAGTACGCGAGACTTGATGGCCTCCATGAACTGCTGATAACCGTGGCCAAAGTGGTTCTCCATGCGCGGTATCACGAGATCCGACACGTCCACATTCACGCAACTCGCAGCGGCTGCAGCGGCAAAAGCGACGGCTTGGCAGCCAGCAGCCGCCGGGTTGTTCGGACCGGGGAGTTGCAACGCCCAGAACAGCTTGGATAACACGCCGTCGCGGGTCGAAAACACATTGATGAATTTACCTCTGTTTGGGTCGAGCGCGTTCGTGATGTTGTCTAGTCCCTGGGCTTCAGGGATGAACGCGCCGGCGAAGCTCACGGCGTTGGTGATCTGTGGCAAGCCCTCACCTTTTTTCTCTGCTCGAAACTTGGCCATCTCCTGGAAGGTGCTGTAGATGACGGCACCGCCTAGCGAGTGGCCTAACATCGAGACCTTACGATCGCGGAGCAGCACTGGTCGCTCCGCCAGCACATGGGCGAGTAGGATACCTACCTTCTCCGCCTTACCTTGCGCACTATGCCAAGGGTTCCCTGTGAAGTGTGCAACCATGGTTGACACGGACGAGCTGCCAATGTTGTCGTTGACGTGCGCGCAAAAATCATTCCAGGCGGCGGCGTCTCCGGCCTCCCATTGTACGGCGAAGACGGCGGCGTTCTGGTCTTCCTGTATCCATACGCGCCAATTCCGCGTCGGATCGTCGCTCTGCGTCATAAACCCATTGATGCAGAGCACTACGTGAGTGCAGGTGGCCACGTCTCCACTCAGCAGCTTGAACTGTAGCTGCTGCACGCGACGCTTCCGCTTGGCTACGTTGAAAGTCGCCATCGCGCCATCGTACGCGCTTGCCCACAGCGTGGTAGTCTTGGTAGTAGACGTCGGAGCGGCTGGCGGTCGCAACCAAGCATTGAGTGCCCCCAATGCACCGCCAACGGCCACAGCCGCCAGTTCCGAGTTTCCGATCGTCTCCTGTTCCTGCTCGTTACTCTGTACCCGAACGCGCTCTACGATGGCATCCACTTCTTGTATGAGGAGGGCAGACACGTGTTCGCGAACGTTGTCGGGCGGTGCTGAGGCAGAGCTGAGCGATACCTCGTACTCTTCAAGCTGCTGCGGCGATAGCAAGCCGCGATTCTTGAGCTCTCGGCAGTCAGCCAGCAGATCCATCTTTGGATTTATGCACACGTCACAGATTTACGGCTGTTCGGTAATGGAGTTTAGTGAAACCAAGACCTACTTTAACTCAGTACCGCAATTCTATCGCTAATGGCGATTCGCTATTACGCTTTGCGCATATGCAGCGTGCTCCGCGACGCGCCATCAGCGCTAATGGTGCTAGCCTATTGCCGTTGCTGGCACGTTGAAGTGGCTGCCCGTTTCCTTAGCCGTTGCGTCTCTTCGATGGATTGCCACGCTCGAGCTCACTTGCGCTCCTGCCGCGACGACTCCCTTGCTCGCAACTAATCGCTGGCCATGATGACGGGCGTTGTTGATCAATTGCCTGAACATTTGCTTCTTGAACACGTGTGCTGCTTCGTGCACCTTCAGGACCGCTGGCACGGCCTAGCGCGGGTCTCCAAGCGCTGGCGACGACTCACCCTCGCGTCCGTACATCGTGAGCAGCACGTGGACTTGGTGCGTCTACTTCGAGGCTTGCAGAGGTTTAACGTATCTAAGTGGATTCACTATTACAGACGTGGTGCACAGGAGAACACGAACTTGAAGCTGCCGCGGCCGTGCTGCTCGATTTCAAGTCGCAGCGTAGCAAGAGCGGTCGGAACTTGTGCGTGGAGACCTCACAACTGCAGAGCGTGGCGCTATACGGCCCGCGCGTCACGTCGCCACTGCTGTCGCATCTGGTTAAAGGTCTCGGCTGTGATCAACTCCGGCATGTGGACGTCGAGTCCAAGCAGATCTCAGACGTGGCACTCGAGCAACTCTGTCGTTGCGTGAGTCTACAGACGCTGTCGTTGCACTGCGTCAAACTTACGGACGAGTCGCTCATAGCCATCTCTCGAGCTTGTCCACAACTCACTAAGGTTGATCTGTCCGGCTGCTCGGGGGTGCGAGACGACGGCATCCTCGCCATCGCAGCCAACTGCCCCAAACTCCAGAAGATCAACCTCAATATGTGCCGACGGATCACAGACAGATCCATCATGGCATTGGCTCAACATGCATCACTATCGTTGGAAGAAATCATACTCGATCGCTGTCTGAAGGTTCGTGTATGTGCCTCCTCCGCTCGAAAAGAGTTGAACTGATCCACTGCTGTCTGTAGGTCTCTGGACCAGCCATTTGTTTCCTCATGAGGACGCAGCGCAGCCTTCGATCACTCTCGATCGCACGGTGTCCAAAGGTGCAAGGTGCCGACTTCTACAACCTTTCAGAAAAGGCTCAGAAGAAGTGGATCTGCAAACTCGCTACACTCGATCTGAGCGGCTGTGCAGGGCTAGATGATCGCGGTGCGGCTGCATTAATCACGGCCAACCGATACACACTACGATATCTTAATCTCGGAGCGCTGTCGTCTCTCGGCAGCGACACATTCACAGCTATCGCTCGATGCACCGAGCTCGAGTCACTTGACCTTTCACTGTGTCGGACACTACAGAACTGCGATCTCATGACAATCGCATCGGGGTGTCCACACCTCTCGACTCTGTTGCTGCAAGGCTGTGATGCTCTCGGTGACGTTGGACTCAAGGCGTTGGCGTCGCGAGCAGCCAATCTACAGCGACTGTCGCTCGAGTTCTGCTACAACATGACGGATGAAGGATTCGCGGCCGTGGTTTCGTATTGCCCAGACTTATTACATCTCAACATCAAGGCTTGCAACCAGCTCACAGTCGCGGCTTTCCGCGCTTTAACGCAACGAAAGGCCCCACTAGAAACGCTGTACATCGGAGCATGCGCCGATATGGAGACCACGGCAGCATACTTCTCCATCGTCAAGCACAAGTTCCCTCGGTGCCGAATCCACTTGGTCTGAGGCGTCTGATGTCCGCTCTGTGTAAAGTAGTGGTAACAAGAAGCATGCACTTCTACTATACCTTAGAACAGCATTTGTACCAGGACAATGGTGGACGTTCACTGCAGGCTTAAAACTATCGAGGAAGAGTGCCCTGTTTCGTCTTTATTTATCTGTCGAGTGGGCGTTTTGCGTGATTACTTTGAGAAACGAGCGCCAGTTGACAAAGCACAAGAGTGCAGGTGAAGCTTCAGCGAGACCATGTCAGGCCGCATCCCCAACGTCAGCACCCGGATCGTGCCAAAGAGCATCACGCTGCCCGAGACTGGGAGCTGTTTCGACACGACTGCGGTGGCTCCCAAGGTTGGCGAGAGAAATAAATAGTCCAGTTAAATCGACAGGAAATACGCTAATGAGGAAACTCTCTTGATGGTCTAGCGACGTACAACCGAAAAAGTAGACGACTCGGCACACATCAGCGCCTTCTCCTTGTCCAAACCGTCTAAACCACATACTACCGACACCTTCCTCCGTAAGGGTCAAGGAACAGGGGGAACGGTTGATCTGGAGAAAACGCTGAAGGTTTGCTGAAAAGCCGTGGAAAGTAGGAGCTGGCCGTCTATTAAACAGTTATTTGTACTCAATGATGACCTCCAGGCAGACAAGCACGAGACACTGTCACCGCGCTCGAGGTACCAGCAGCCTGCAGCATTTCGGGGGCGAGCTAACCCACCCGACACGTCGTTCCGAAGGTTAGTGAAGGAGAATGCCAATCTACGTTGGATTGCTGAAAACTTTCAATTGTGGATCACTTGAGCAGATTCTATGAGCGGGCTGACCTGCCGATCCAGATTGACCATGGAGGTGTACGCAATATGGTCGCCTGGAAGGTGGATATCACCAAGGTAAACATCTCAAGAGGCTCCTTGTTTGCCTTAAACAACCAAATCTAACTCAGCCTACTTCATATTTTTTTCTTCCTAGCTCGACTTCCACCACTATCTCCCCATTTTCTTCGATGGACTTCGTGAAGTGGAGGAGCCTTATGCCTTCCTGTCTGAACAAGGCATTAAGGACATGCTCATTAACGCTAGCAACAAGGTGCTGCCAGTTATCCCTCAGCTCATTATTCCGATCAAGAGTAGGTTCAACCTTCGCCAGCGACGACCAGAAAAATGAACTTACAAACTAACTTTACGTCGTTCGACCTGCTCTAGATGCCCTCAACACACGCAAAGCTGCGATCATCGTCAAGACTCTGCACATTTTGCAGCTCATGGTAACATGCGAGGCTGCGGCTCAACCAGGTAGCGGGCCAGGACTCATCGGTCAGGCGCTTGTGCCATACTATCGACAAATTCTTCCGGTGCTCAACATCTTCATCCGGAAGAATGGTAAGACCTCGCGTGGTGTTTTTGTACATTAGCTTGGCTTCTAACTCTTTTATTGACGTTGCAGATAACATTGGGGATGCCATCGACTACGGTCAGCGCAAGCAGTTGAACCTGGGTGACCTTATCCAACAGACTCTGGAGATCATGGAGTCTCACGGTGGTGATGACGCCTTCATCAACATCAAATATCTCGTCCCCACTTACCAGAGCGTGTGTGTGGGCTAGTCACAATAAATGACAGCGAGATGAGAGAGGATTCGAGTAACACCATCAAAGGAAACACTTAGGATCTTTGCGTGTTTCCACTCAGCTTTGCGTGCTTTTCCATTGCAATTCAGAAATTACTTCTTCTAGTACCTCCTGGTGCTGCTGACTTGGGGCGCATCCTCACTCGTGCACTAGCTTGTGGTCGCCCAGTCAATAATTGTGTGGTGCTGCGGGTTGGCTGCACCAATCTACGTCCGTCGACCTCGTCAGTCTCAGGAACTTCAATGATTCTCCCGCCCTTGGCTCCAAATTCCTCGCTTCGTCGAAGTCTCCGCTCCAACTCTTTGTTCGCTTTTCGAAAAGTGTTGAGCTCCGTCACGAGTGACGCATTCTGGAACGACAGGGCTGCTGCGAGTTTGTGTTTTTCACGGTTCCCAGCTTCCACTTGTCGACGTAGAGAGTGTTTGTTCTGCAGTAAGAAGCGGTTCTGACGGTGCAGTTCGGCGTTCACCTCATCGGGGGCCGAGTCTCCGCGAGCTTGTAGTGCGTCCAATTGCCGAGTCATTCGCTTGTGAAGACGACCAATCTCCGTCACAATTGCACTCTTCTCTTGCACGGCACTGCGTCGTACCAGCTCTCCTAGTTCTTCTTGCAGCACCACAATCGAGTGTCGAACTCGCTCCAAACGCTTACTCGTTGTCTCTAGTTCTCGTTCCTGTTTCCTCGCTAGTGAAGACGCCTCGACACGTAGTCGATCACTGATGTTTGCCTGTACCACAACCTCTTGGTTGGCATCATGCAGTTGGTTTAAATGCTCCTGCATCTGCACCAACTCTCGGTCTTTGGGTAGAATATGTTTCTGAAGAAGTTCCAGTTGTGAGCGATGAACACCATCCAAGCGCCGCAAGTTCTCGAGCACGCGTCGCTGTTCTGCGAGTTGAGCTACACTCTCATCTCTCTCACGCATGACTCTCGTAGTATGAGCCTTCTCGTCTGCCAACTTCTCACGTAGCATTTCGATTTCATGCAGTCGTTCATCAAAGTCGCAACACAATTGTTGTAACTCGTTGTCCTTCTGGTTGAGCGCTCCTAGCAGCATTTTAACTTGTTGGTTCAACGCTGCAGCCTTCCCGTTCTGCTCTGCTAATTGTGTTGCACCTTTCTGCTTCTCGGAGTCAATAGAATTGGCTAGTAGGCCCATTTGAACGAGCTGGTCTTGGTCTTGCTGACTTAGTACTTCTTGCAACTTCCTCTTGGTTAACTCCAGTTCATCGGCTAACCTCTTCTGGGCACCATCATAGTGAGCTTTCGCTTCCCGAAGCTTCTTCCTCCCTTCATATTCCAGCTGCACTTCTCGTTCTTGAGCTCGCGTGTGCTCGTCTTCAAGGTCCATCTTGGTAGCGTGGAGCTCTTCTCGTTGTGAATCACACTCTTTTTGTAGCATCTCTAGTGCTAACAAGTAATGGTCTTGAGCTGAGCGAGCGTCTTCGGATAATGTACGCAGCTGACTATCGCGTTCACGGATGGCTCCACCTAGTCGTACATCTAGTTCTGTACGCAGAGCTTTCTTCTCCTCTTTCGCCGTCCTTGCATGAGCTGCGAGTTCACTTTCCAGAGTACTCTCAAACTTTACTCGTTGCTCGCTCACTTGTCTGCTGAGCATTTCGTTCTCCATCTTAAACTGCTCCATTTCACAATCCAAATCCAGCAGCTTAAGGCGACTCAGTTCGACTTTGTTGCGGTCGTACACTGCCAATTCCTCAGGTTGGCAAATACTGGCAAAGACATTCGTGGACAGCTCATGGAGGTTTTGCTCGTCTCGAATGGCTGTCGCGATGGCGGATGAGCTCTCGGCCTCTCCAGAATTCGCTCGACAGAGCTTACAGGCCAGAACGACACCGTTCTGGGCATTGGAGAGTAGTAACCTTGATCGTGTAGCGTAGAAGAGCCCAACAACGGGAGCTGTGTGTAGGTCCACACGCTTGATGGCACGTGAAAGGAGTATCCTCGAGTGGCCCTCACCAGTTCGAGATCCTCGTTTCCTTTTCCAACTAAAGATTACTAAAGAACCAGTCGACGTTCCCGTGAAGAGCAGATTCGGGTATGCGTTCCCGTCGCTTCTGTTCGAGCTTAAACCAGTTCCAGATTCGAGTGCAGTGACCTCGAAAGGCACTTTTTCACCTGCACTCCCATCATTGAGGCTGTACAGTGCATCGAAGGCCAGTTGACCATTTACCCACGCTCGAACGATACTTTGACTGCTGCTTTCCCGTTTGGAAGCGCGTTTTTCAGCTGCGAACACAACATAGTCGTGACTCTCGTGGTCCATGTAACTACTGGTGAATGCCACAATGGTATTATCACGGGAAAGTTTCTGGGCCACACTCTGCGTTTCAACCAGATCTTCAGCTTCACCGCCGGACTGCCACCGTAATTGGCAGAGACGAAGTTCCCCCACTGCATCGACAGCGAAGAAGCTGCTGTCGTGAAGAGCCCAGTGGAAACGCTCAATACTTTCACGAAAATCTCGAAAAATACCAACGAGTTGCGGCTCACGCTGTACTCGGGACAAACTTTGGTACACAAAAATCGTCTTGTTGGTGGCATGTACAGCAGCAAAGAGCGCACCACTGGGGCTATACTGAGCGAGTGTGAGATGCTTTTGGGGCATCTCAAAGGCCAGACGTAGAGAGTCTTGGAGTACGAAAAAAATCTGAAATCTTGACGAAAAAGTCATGAGTAACTCTGACCCTGAAGGGTGGATGTCCACACTTAGAGGCGCTTGTTGTTCTAGCGTATGAGCTATAAAGCACTCGTGGCAATCTGTCTGACTCCACACATGAACTGCAGCATCTCCGTCGGGTAAACGACAAGCAGCAGCAAAGCAAGGACGTCTGGAGGCTGCACTCAGTTTCTCCATTTCTTGCGATAATGGCGTAGACGACAATGAACTCAATGCGATTGTTTCATCATCACTGCGTAAAAGACACAAATTACTGAGATCGTACGATCCATAGCCCCGTTCAGTACAGCAAAGCAGCATTGCAGCCGCAGGGTCTGTCATCACGCTCAGAATCCGCTCGCTACGGGTACAATTAAAGTCAGGTTTTACCGTGGTTTTTAGAGTTGCTTTATGATACGTACGTGTTTGGCACTCGCACGCGACGTTGGAGATGCAATTCCTTTTCGTTTGCTTTAAGCATTTTAGATACGATACGGACAACCGATACAAGGCCGTGGGTGCCTCCTACGACGACTCCTTCGCCATTATTCAAAGGGCTCATGCACAGCATTTTGCCCAAACCTTTATGAACTGCACGCAACGTTTGAACCAGCTCAGCGTTCATTATCAACTGCACGTCTCCGTCTTCCAGGAGTCCAACTAGCACATCTTCCGGTAGCCATGCGTGGTCGGCATAATTGACAACATTCTTGGCTTTAGTCTCGTCGCCGGATTTGAAACTTGCAAGCGATTTGAGTGTATACTGACACATCGTCCAGATACGCAGTAGATTCCCTCCACTTGTGGACAATTGGGCCATATCAATGACGTTAAATCGGACTCGAGACACCCGGCAATGCACATCAGAGAGCGCAACTTGTCGGCCCCGCCCCCAATCCCACACACCAAGACTCCAATTCGAATTCGCAGCTTGAGCACTCACTAACTTTCCGTCAGGTGATAAGGCTGTACTAACGAGTCGATCTGTCCAAGTTACAGCCAGAGTCTTGAGTAAAGCAATACGTCGAGTACTCCCACCTTTTGTCGGATTGATTCTCGTTGTGACGCTGTAGACGGTGATGGAGGCGGGGGAGTTCGTGCTGTCAGGATTCCCATCGCCACTTTTCATTTTCACTGCTGCTCGACAGACCGAAAGGTGTTGACGTTTCCCACACAATGCCACCGCTGTGATCTCCCCGAGACATCCCGTTGTTTGATCCTGTGCCGTGACGAAGCTCAGCTCCTGGGTCTGCGTATTCTGCAGTACGACACACTTGCCGATGACCAGTACAAGTTCGTAGCGACTCAGAGGCAGAATCGCATCACGGAACGACGTGTCCACGCCATTCCCATTCACTGCTACCAACGTCGGTGGCGATGCAAAGTCAGTCATTTCACCGAGCTCGCATAAAAGACTGAATTTCCTTGTTCGGACCTCTATAAATACGGCGCCGAGTAGATTATTTGCCCCCCCTTGAACTCCAACAACTAACGATAATGTCCTCGCAGGACTCGACGATCCGATCGCGCCTTGATTTGCTGAAGCAACAGTGTTGGGCGCTCTGTGATGGTGATGTCGAAAGAGGGTCCAAGGTCGAGAGGATGACCGAGTTTCTCTCATCTATACAACTATGGAAGGAGCGTTCGCTGAATCAAGTACTCGAGGCATTGGACAAAGCTGGCGTTCAGTCCATAGACAGCCACATCGAGGCGATGGAGCACCATGAGAAGGCAGCTTTACACCTTTTCGAATTGACTCGGGGGTTGCTTCATAGCATCTTGCACGGTATAAATCTTCTTGTGGATGACTCTGTAGACGATCTCGAAGCTCTCGTGGATTGTATCGTCAGTTGCAGATTGGAAAAACAACAACAAGTTTACGACGATCTTGTGAAAGGCTTAAAAAGTGAGAACCACGAACTCGCGACAACATGCCGACATCTACAAAGCACAAAATTATCCCTCGAGGGGCGTCTTGAGTTGCTTGAAAACTCTTCAGGTGCTGGTGACGCCATTCTGTGCGATAAACTACGTGGTCGAATACAGCATTTGGTGATTCGACAGCGTGAACTCTCAACGGAGCTCGAAAGTGCAGCGCGGGAGCGTGTAAAGCATCGACGAGAACTAGAAAAGGCCAAAACGCAACAAGCAGAATCTCAGAGATCCTTAGCATTAACAAGAGCGATGCACGACAAGGAGACCAGCCAACTCGCTGCGATCATCAACCTCAATCATTCTCAAGTTGCTCAGATTCTGGATGCGTCTAAAAACGCTACAGACTCGAAACACTACCAGGAATCGCTGGAGAGGTTTGATCCCATGTCAGGGTGCACGATCGTCCACTTGGCTCCAGTTTCGCCTCCGCAAAAGCCTCCTAATTCTCCGTCCTCCACTTCTCACCGACGTTCGATCTCACCAGTACTGACAGCGTCACTCGTTCAGAAGAAACAAGGACCACCAGCAACTAAACCTAGACAACGAGCGGAACGACCCAAATCTGCAACAACTAGAAGTGCCAGACCCACTTTTTCAGCTCGCCACCAACATCTATACGCTTCTGAACTTCACAAAACTAGGAAATGGTGTAATTCTTAAACCATCGGTAGGAATGACCCTGTTTTGTCCAATTCTTTGCTAGTTGCTTCCTCCTGTAGTTGTGGGTAGTTCGCAGTCTTCTTCTTCGTCTCTGATAGAAAATCCGCATGACTTTTTAGCTCCGTACACGACGTGGTAGGTCTTTGCTTTTCTCCCGTATTTTGAGGCAACGGTACCGCGTATTTCCCATATAAACTGAAATTCAGCGTTCCTTCCAAACCAGAAGGTGGACTAGCTGTTAGCGGGGCAGTGGAAATGGGCCGAGCAAGTGTCACTGTAGCAAAACGCGCTTGTCGATCTCGGCCACGTTTGAGGTTCTGCCATTTCTCGCTCCGAGACGACGCAAAGGATCGAACCGAGGACACAAATTCTTCTTGAAAAGCCTCAGCCTCCACCACAGCAGCTCGAAATCCGTGAGATCGATACTGGTTTTCCACTTTCTGCCGTCGTTGGTCACGTCCTCGAAGTTTGTGCTGCTCTTCTGTGTACACTCGATCTCTATACTCTCGAGCAGCAAGGGAAAACAATTTCTTGGGCGTCTCTCTCGCTACTTGGAGAAGTTCTTCGACTTCTTCCGGTTTTCTTGTCTTCTTCGCATCCACAGGCGTCGTAATTGGTCGTCGGTTACCTTGCGAACGAGTGGGCGCCATTGCCCGAGCTGCGCGTTTCTGGCTGCGCTGTTCTCTCTTCATGTCGAAAATGTGCTCAGCCAAGTCGGTTTTGAGCGCCATGAGCTCATTTTCAGCCGCTCCAAGTCTCTCTGTAGCCACCAGAAGCTCAGCTAACGTTGCCAGTTGCGCTCGATGGAACTGATCTCGTTCTGCTAGTGCAAAATTCCTCTGAGAGTCCGAGATTGCAGCAGCCACTTCAGCCCTTTGCCAGTTGTGAGCAGCTTGTTCCTGATGCTTGACACTCTCCTGCATCTTCACTAAGATCTCGTTTCGATGAGCTTTTATCGCTTCTATTTCCTCCTGGAATCTCACACTCGCTCTCTCGACGTTTGCCTGCACCACTCTCAACTCCTTTAACTGCTCTGTAAGACACGCTCTCTCCACTTCAAGCTGCTGGTTCATCTCGCTTTCGAGGTTGAGCTGCTGTCGAACACGTTGATAAGACTCGAGTGTGAGCACATGAGCGCTCTTCTCTTCAGCCAATTGAGTTTGCACGGCCTGAATTTCCAGCCTCGTGGCCTCAAGTCGAAGGTTTTTATCGTTGTTCTGTGTCTCTAGATGTTGGGCTCGTAGTGTGAGATCTTCCAGCTCAACTTGAAGTGTACCGAGCTTGTCTTCCCACACGCTACTTCCTCCGCGTAGTCGAATAACTTCAGCTACTGCAGAATGACCCCAATGGGTTGCAAGGTCTAATGCTGTACACCCAGCTGCGTTCTTGGTCTTGAGACTCGCCCCTGCTGCCAGCAGCAACTTGGTCAAGTCCATTCGACCCCAGAAGCACGCGAGATGGAGCAGCGTTTGCCCTCCAGCATCAAAGTGATCGACATCTACACCTGGGACGGCCAACAATTCGGCCACGCGAGCACGATCATTATCGAAGATGGCGTCGCGAACGAGTTCGTAGTGGGTCTCAGAGACCGTAGATGCAGGTGCAGGCATATCCGATAGTAATAGACTGCGGCGTGATTCAATTCAATATTTTTAGTCAAAACCACGGCCAAGCATCAAGGGTCTAAGAACTAAGAAGATCACAATTTTCCTGCTGAGAAATGACTGTCGAAGTTATTCTCCCAGAGACTTGCAAACGATATCCATCACCCCAAGTCGGAAGCTGCCAAAAACGCACATCAAATGCTATGGGTGGATTGATGATCAACGCGTCTATTTCAGCATCGAAATGGCCATAAGACGTTTTTCTTCGTTACGCTCAGAACGAGTTCTAGTGTGAGGTGATCTCTCCGCTACCGAGACCCTGAGTGTCGAGGATATTTATCATGATGGAGGGGAGCGCCATGGGAGACTTCGCCAATCGGTGAGTGAATAACTAAGTGCAAAGTTGAATGCACGAGCTCACGGTAGTGTTTGTAACGTCAGACTCAAACTGGAGTTCGAAGACCAGGACTCCGAGGCCAGTGAGGGCGACGAGTGTCAAGACTGGTTTGTCAATGATTCACCTAAGCGTAATATTGCACCCCGTATGGATGACGAGTCATCTCCCAAGCGTGATCGTACTAGAGACGCAACAGTTCCACCAAGAACAACGCGATCGGTTAGCAGTCGGCCCCAGGCAGTAGCGAAAGTGTCCGACACAAAACCACTAGCTGACGAGGTTTGTGCGCTCAAATTTAGGCGGTTAGACTGTCAATGGGAGGGAATGTAACTTGCTTATCACGCCAGGACTACGAAGACTGTGACGCGTGCAGTGGCCCGATGGCATTTTTACACCACACGCCACCAACGTTCTCCATTCTAGTGATGGAGTTTGGATCGGGAGTTGACGTTCCTCGCTACGGGACGAAGTTTTTCCGGATCTACATCCCGCAGGTTCACAATAATCAGAAGGAGTTTTGTATTTTTGCAAGGAAGCGACTAGGCAAGTACAAATATCGATTCAGGTAAGGACGATAGTCAAGCTGGAGACGTGGGAGTGTACTGTACTGATCAATATTTTTGTCAGTTTGGACGAGAAATTCACGACGAGCTGGACGGACTCTTTGTACGATGGTCGAGTGCTCATGACGTCGTCTGTAGACACGAAGCGCTTTCGACTCTTGGCCGCCAAGTCAGCGGGTCGAGTTCATTATGACATTAAGCAGGAGACGAGAAAGCAGGAGCTGAGTGTTCGGCTGAACTCCTCGGTATGGCCGGCACATTAGTGGTATTTTAGTGGTACTAAAGATTTGTTTCTGTAGTCCACTCGATTCAACTTCTTCCGAGCACGCGCCGCGTCTGTTGATAACAAGAGCGAGGTCTACCGCTCCAACATTCAGGTAAGTCTGCGTTGGAACAATGAGGTCCTAGACGCTTAAGTAATCACCGCTTTCCCCATACTCGCTCTAGAAATTCATTAATCCGATGGCGGACGTTCGGTGCTCGAAAACCAACTACACTTTATTCAAGATGGAGAAAGAGGGCGTGGGTGTATCGTTTTAGCACACTGAGAACTTTACACGGTTGCCTAACGTCTTCGTCGATGAGCAGGAAGTGGGTGCGCAGAAGTACGTCATCTCGTACATGCAACCTTTTTCACTTTTCCTCAGGTAATGATGGCTTTTTTTTCTCTTAAGTTAGACAGAGAAGAAGCTAACTTGTGGTTATGGTGGTCGTTTAATTGCGCTCGTATTAGCTGCTGTATCGCTGTGGGCGTCGAAGCGCATCTACTGGAGTGATAAACACTATTACGTCAAGAGCAGTTCACAATCAACAGTCAAAGCATCCAGTGATTCTTAGTGACTTTTGACCCAGCTTCCTCTCGCATCTAGCGGGACAAGACTGTAGGACGCTGCTTGAGTGACTGGCTGATCGACAACATCATCTCAATTCCACGCAGATCGCGGACTGCATCTTTGATCTGTGAATCTCTCTGACACAGCTTGGCTAGCAAAATGGCTACATTCTTGCGAGCCGGCCCATCGGATAGTTCTTGTAGAGATTTCACGAGAACAGCGAGATTCCCTTTGCTTTTGAAGGCCAGAGAGTCCTCTGAGGTGTCGTCAGACTGCATAGCGATCAAAACCTTCACAATATTCCCAACGAGTCGTTCGCTTGCAGCTGTCTCTCCAGTTGGCCGATTGTAGGATTTTTGAGAATTTGCAAGTTTGATCACTTGAATCAGCAGACACACAGCATTTCTCTCACGTAAGAAAGCACAAACACTTGTGAGGTGCGCGCACCAGCCAAAGTGGCACCAGATTTGTGCACAAAGTTGCCAGAGCTCGGTCGGAAGTGTAGCCATTTTGTCACTGAAGCTCGAGTTGGCGTATTCACACACCGTAAAGAGTTTCGACAGCAGGACATTGCTTGTTAGACGGTCTAAAATGTCTCCTTTGACAGTGCTCGCACCTCGACAAACAGAGTGGAGGCGACAGAGAAGGCTCGCGGTGCGGGACAAGACGAGGATTGACTCGCAGCAACTCGACGCACTCGCTCGTGTGAGGATTTTTTCCACCGTGTCCACGATCCCAAACTCCAGGAGATCGTGATTCCTCACTTTCGAATCTTCAGCAAACGAGAGGTTCAGCAACGCCCCAAGTGCTCGCTCAGAGCATGTGTAGTCCGTTGGTCCTGACAGGTTTCCGTCTTGTGCGATTCGCAGTAATACCTTCACAAGGTTTCGACGAATTTCCTTACAGCTGTCGCTCTCGACAGTCTTGCGGATCCGTTTATCCGTAGACAAATTGGTCATGAAACCCAGTACATTGCGCAGTAACTCGACCGACTGGGCACTGCATTTGGTGTCTAGCGCCTGAACGATGGCTGACAGACAGTCCAGACCACGACTGCTACTTGCTTGGATGCCAGAGTTATCGCTGCTTAAAGCAAAGCAGATGCTTGATGCAGCCAGCGCTATTGCGAGTTTTGAGTTCCTTTCGTCGGTCGACAAATTGCTAGCTTTCGTGGGAAGATACAGAGCTGTCAGCAGTGAAGAAATCACCTTAACCGATGAAAGTAGCGCGTTTCGCCAGCTCTTGGAGTCCACAACTTGCTCCAGAAAGTGAACGACGCTTGCCTGGACGATCCATTGTGAAGTCGAGGTTGCTCTCTTCCCCAGATTTCCAACAAAAGCCAGGGTTTCTGTTCGAAACGCTACGTTACGGAACATTACGACTTGATTACGCGGAGTGTCGGCCACTGAAGCTGCCGCACAGTTGATCATGACGCTTAAAATGACGTCGTGAGTTTGTAGACAAGATTTGTCGTCTCCCTCTCTGGGGAACATTAGAGTAGATGAAATACGATCACAGAGCTTATCCATCTCGCCAGAAGTCCTAAACTTTGCTCGAACATGCTCGTTTCTCTCTATGAAAGGCAGTACAAGATCATAGGCTACCCAGGCGTCCAACACTGTTGCAGTAGTGTAGTCGTCCATCTTCTTGAGTACTTCAAGAGAGAATCGCAGCTCTTCAATGGATGACGGACCCAGCGAAACTTCCACTTTGCCACGCTTGCTTAGCGCTGTATCCAGCTCGCAGTTGGTGATGGAATCTTCATAGTCGCCAACGATAATAGAGTGTTGCTCTGCTATGTCCACGTTCTCTCCGTCTAGCGCAAAGGCCTTTCGCATGTCATCTGCAGCTTCCTTGAGTCTCTTCTGACGGTGCCATGCTGTAGCGCGACGAGAGAGAGCTTTCACATAGCCCTCGTCAACGTACAACGTACGAGTGCAAACCTCAACGCAGTCGTCTAGTTGATCAAGTCGCAAATAACACTGCGCAATGTTGGCCAGCACCGCCACGTTGAAAGGGGAGGCTTTCAGCGCCTCCATGTAAGTTTTGATGGCATCTGGATACTGTTTCTTCTTGTAAAAGTGATTGCCTTTTTGCCTCAAACCTGCAGCAAATACAGCGCTTTACTTAGAATATGAGCTGAAACAATGGACTATCGGTACTCACGCTCTGCCGTGCGGGCTTTTTCCTCCTGAGATCGTTGCCGCTCCTCCATGTCCTTCTTGAACTGGTTGCAAAACTCAGGATTGATGTCCTCAAACTCGCGGTTGCGCAGCTTCTCAAGCTCAGCATTCCGCTCAGCTTTCTCCTGCAGAGAGACAGAGTCTTCAGGCACCCATTGATTCCACAACGAGTAGTCGTTGGCGTCACGATTTTTGTAGGCTGCAAGAATCCGATTAGCCCATTGTGAGCTCTTGCTCACTTTGTTCTCCTTGCCCTCGTTCTCCTCGGCGTCTCGCATCGAGTAGAGTAATTCGGCTCTATTCCACCAAGTATCATGTTCTTCCTGCTTCTCCTTTTGCTCACGCTCCTCCTCTCGCTTGCAGCGCTCCTCTTCTCTTTTGCTTCGTTCCTTGCGTTCCAATTCCTCCTGTTCCGGTGTCTTGTATCCTGGAATCTGTAGCAGCCCATCAAGTCATTACCGCATCATCAACTCTCCACCTTAGAAATAAATGTAGTCGAGTACGTTGCACTTGAGCGGGTCAAACGTGCCCTCCTTGATGTCCTTCATGGCCTTTGAGATCTACAACAGACAGACGTGAGACGAGACCCCCCCCCAGCTAAATCAACGCTACCGTACCAGATCCATGCGGTTTGCAAAGTCCTCCACCTCCTGCGGTGAGATGCCAGAGCGGTGCTCCATGTCTAGCGCCTTGATCGGGTCCATCTCGCTGCGATAGTCTCAAATGACAGCAGTCAAGGATCGCGTCTCTTCGCAGTACATGGCTACAGTCATTAAATCGAATCAAGGAACGGCATTTCTCTGCCATTAGAAATGACGTTGAACGAAGTGCACGAAGGTGCTCCCTGCCAGGCTTCCGATGCCGAAAAGGCGATGGTCAAAGAGGAATTGGGCTATGTACCCAATAATCTCGTTAAGGTTAGCGCCTTCGTAGATACCAAGGGCTGCACGTCGCGCACTTGCGAGTCCGAGGGCCACCGCCCTGCCGCTTTGCTGCTCTATCCGTTGCGCAATGCTGAGGACGCATACAAGAAGAAACAGCGGGCCAAAGTGGAGCCCTTCCCGACCATCTACTGGCTGGCCTCCGCTGAGCTGAAGGCCAGAGTATCCACGCTAGAGGACCAGCAGTTTGTGCTTTCACTGCAGCATCGACTGGACACGGACCAAGCTGCTAAAGAGGTACAAGTACAACCTGCTCATGTCCAGATGAATATGACTCACATTGTCGTTACTGTAGAGAATGGCCCAGAGTCACCGCGAATACGCAGAGCAGCGCTGGAATATGATGACTCCACACGATCTAGAGCTTGTCAAGGGCCGACGCTGGGAGTTCGTCCTGCGTGACGTGGGCATCGCTGGTATCCGCGACTTCACCAACGTCAAGTGTCTACACACGCACTACGCACACTACCTGGCCACAGGCAACAACCAAATCGGAGAGTGGGTACAGGAGCTCCTGGACACCCCAGCGACTTGAGCGGACAGAAGTGCTCTCGTCCCGCCAATGGATCGCGTAGCCGCTTTTTAATGAAAGAAAAATAATCATTCGAAGCTACTTTTTCTTCTTCTTCTTGCCTCTGCCATTTAATAGACGTCACGTCGCTCTTCTCACTACCACGACATGTTTGACGAGAAACCTACCTACAGCTGTCACCTCTACGAGGGGCGAGCGCAGCATCTCCTCCTTCGTCTACCCACCACCACAGCACTCAGACTTTGTCTGCGTCCGGTCCACGTTGGACTCTATAGAGACCCGACTAGCGCCCGACACCTTGCGCATCTGATGGTTCGAATAGTCAAAGTTGCGCAGAATTGTTGTCGCCGTGAGTGAAAATGCCTGGCAGCAAGAAAGCAACAATAGAAACAGTTAGTCTCTATGCGAGTCAAAACAGCTCCAGACCGACAGACCTGCTCGACGTTGAGCGCTGTCTTAGCCGAAGCCTCAATGAAATAAAGACCGTGGGCTTCTGCCCAGTTGCGTCCCTCCTCCTCAGTGACCTCGCGTTCTTTCTCCGATACGTCGCACTTCATACCGACCACCATGATCTCCACTTCGTCGTTGTGGCAGTTCTGGTGGCATTCTTGCAGCCAACGGCCCAAATGCTCGAAGCTCTCTCTCCGACTCACGTCGTACACGAGTAGCGCGCCGTCCGCTCCCCGATAGTAGCTCCGAGTGATAGAGAGAAAGGTCTCCTGACCTGCTGTGTCCCAGATCTCCAGTTTGACTTTACGTCCGTCCACCTCGAGCAACTTGGCGCCAAACTCAACGCCGATGGTCAAGTCGTGGATTGGCTGGAAATGCTGCTCTGTGAACTGCAGCAACAGCGACGACTTGCCCACCTCCGAGTCTCCAATGATGATGTACTTGAGCGTCACGAACACCATGATCAGCGAGGTAAAGGATACCAAGCGAGAAAACTGAGGATTGAAGCGGCGTTTTGAAGAGAAAAAAAAACAGTTTTGGCGCAACCTAATTCGGATTAAGTTGCTCAACATTCCAGTCGAGAAACACAAGGCCACGCGATAATTTTAGCAATTATTCGTGCATAATGATACCTTGCAAGTGATTTAAGTCTCTCTCACTGCTTGGCGTTCACCTCAATCGTGTAGTCATAATCAATAGTAGGGATGACCGACTGGATGAACTTCAAGAACAGGAAAAGATATTGGTCGCTTCGGATTTCGTTGGCCGCCTGTTCTTCCGTCTCTGTCTCGCCGGGTTGGCGCATCTTGAGGTTGGCGATGATGCGCTTCATGACGGCGCCGTGTTGGCATGGATGGATGGAGGCATGGACCAGGGCACTGCGATGCGGATGTGGCTCCATAGTCACGGTACGGTTCGCGTAGTCCTGCATGATATCCTCGAACAACTGGTCACCGCTGAGTGGAGCGTTCCGTTCGTCGTAGCCAAAGAGCCACACGCGCGGTGTCTGGTAGTACTTGTCATAGGTGATAGACAGGTCGTACGTGCGTGTGCGAAGGATGGCGACTTCTGCATCGTCGGGTTCGCTGGCTACGAGGTAGCTGCTGGTTGAGGGGCCAAGCGCTGCTTCGTCATCCTCCACGAGATTGTCTTCCTCCTCGTAAGAACTCAAATCTCGAAGTTCTGGCTCGGCTGCAGCTGTAGGGGCAGCTTTAAAATGCTCATCCACGATGGCGCCGAATATCCCTCCGTTAGTGTTGGTTGAAGCTTTGAGTTTGTCCACGTCTGAGAGCGAGATTTCCCCCATTTCATCGCTCAAATCTGTGACGGCATTGGAGCTGCCACCCTCGGTCGCGTACGAAGAGGCAGCAACCCATCCTTCTTCTCCCTCGACTGCCTCCTCCGTTTGATAGCTTTGTTCCAGAGATGTCACACGGCGGCGGCACGGCACTAAGCGATACAAAACACAGTCAGTACAGTGGATGACTCGTTGATGTAGCCGCGAACAGGCAGCAAACCGTTGCGAGTGATGAGAAACTGCTTGTCCGCCGGCAGGTACGAGCGTCTCATACTAGGGTCGCCGCTCTCCCAACGCCATGTGGGGCACTTATACACAAGCAGGTCTCCAGCCTTAACGAATTCCTCGGGTGTGAGTAGTCCCTTGTCCTCGAACGACGACTCGGTCAGCACAGGCGTCAGATACTCGCGCACGCCGTGGAACAGACTCTGCATCGCTTCGTTTCCTTCTCTTCGAGCTCCAATACCGGTATGGGAAAATGGATCAGGGTTCATTTTTCTTCAAGACCCAAAATCTTCAATTACTCAATTAATAATGCAAAATGCCCAAATATTGGGCTGGCGCTTTACTGACGCGGTCGATCGATGCTGCTGCCGCTGCGCCGCCTCATGAGCTTCTCGGTACGCAGCTTCAAGGCTCCGTTGGCAGTGGACCAGGTGAATGTCTGTCTATCGAGTCGCTTCAGCCGCCTCGTACATCCAGATCCCTCAATTGAGCAACAGAAGACGCTGAATTGGGAAGATCTTAAGCGCCAGACGCCGAGGCTCTTCAATGCCTCAAAGTTCCGTTTCCAAGGACTGTCAGAAGATCATCCCTCTTCCCAACTTCAGATGAACTGGGGGCTGACCGATTATGCGTCGTATTTGGGCACGTGCTGCTCATCGCTAGCCCCGCAGCTTCTGGAAGATGGCGAAATGCTTCACAACGATCGCTTTGTCTTCCTATCACGAAAAGTGGGCGTCGCAGCGGTGTTGGAGACTAGGGACGGCCATGTGGCGCTCGTCAAGCGTAGTAAGAGTGTCGGCCTCTACCAGGACCTGTATGACACTCCAGGAGGACACCCTGAACCGTCCAACATCCAGTTGACAGAAGACGTTCTGCCGACACTGGAGGATGCAGCCAACGAGCTCAAGAGGACCCAGCTAGAGGATGCAGCCAAGCAGGAGTTCTTCCAATCCATCGTGAACGAAGTTTATGAAGAAGTAAACTTGGCCCCGCAGCGGCAACAGCCACCGATGTTGATGGGTGTCGTGCTACAGACCGACGCGTGCACTCCCAGTTTCTGTGAGTGGAGGGGCAGCTAAATAGCAACAAGTGAGGCTGAGGAGAGACTAACTGGAGGACATTCTGTGTTTGTGGCTTGCAGCTTTCCACATAAAGACGGAGTGTTCGGCGGAAGAGTTGAGGGAGCTGTATCACGCCGGACCATCGGACAAGTTTGAATCAGTCAAGTTGGAGCTTTTGTCTATCGAGAGCTTGCTGGACGAGGGGTCTACTGCGCTGTAAGGAAGTGAACGCGGGGAATGAGAGCTGAGAAGGTAGATGTTAATTTGTGTTTCGGTTTTGTGTGTGTGCAGGGACGAGTTAAAGCTGACACCGTCGGCGCAAGGCACGCTGGGACTGTGGAAGCAGCATACACTGCGTGTGAGACAACAACATCGACGGTAAACTTCTTACTGGATGACAAATAGAATGCGTTCTCTTGACGTTCTTCTTGCATTAGTGTAAAGTAAGTTCCTTCCTCTCGTTCGACTGAAATGCAAAGCCAAAACTACACGATATCCATGATGAGGGCGACGCCAGCAAGAACCCACCGCGCTGGCGGTGACTTGGACTTGAGCTGAGCAGAGAAGACGTAGGTGGGTCCACGGAACTCAGTCTTGTAACACGGACACACGTAGGACCCTTTGATGTCGAGCTTATCGGCTGCTACAGCCTTGCAGTTAATGACAGGCATGGGCGAGAACATTTCCTTGGGGTGGGAACGATCCACTGTGTTGTTCTGAATATCCCAGCGCGCTCCCATGAGGAAGAGACCGTGGATATAAGCGCCATCCCGAGATGGAGCGTCCACTTCGCCATTGCGGCGTTTAAGGACATCCGTCTGGATCACGAGTTTGTCGAGTTCCCATTGGTTCTTCTGAGCTGTGACCTGCATGATGGCAGTGAGGAACGACTGCGGGTTGATCATACCAGAAAGCCACGTGGCACGGGGAATATCTGCAGGGTTCTGAGTCCATTCCTCGAGTTGCTGTAGTCGAGCTTCAAGGTTCGTGAGCCACGAGCCAAGGGGACGCATGGACGGGAAGGCAAGTTTCTCCCACGACTTTGGCACGCGATCGAGGAACAAAGACTCTTGTACAGCCTCCATGGCGTCCGACATGGTCAGTTCGCCAGCGAAGCCCAACGACAACTCGTTCAATGAGCGCACCACTTCAGCTAGCAGCCCATTCATGGCCTCACACTCCTGGATAAACACGTTCTGGTACGGTCCCATTTCTTCCAAGTTTCGTGCGATCTCATCACACTCAAATTTCTTCTCACCAACACGAGACAAGACCATTTCCAGCCCTTGTTTTGCCAACTCCAACGGACTCATAGTAGCGTCTCCAGCTGCGGCATCTCGAGGCTGCAACTCCATCAAAGTACGGAACAAATTCTCAGACTGAGTCGTACGGAAATCGATTTCAGCGTTCGGGTGTAAACCAAAGGCCAGGGGTGAGTCTGTCTTGAGCTCCGTCTCAATGTGCTCCAAATATTTATCATAGGACGACGGAGCGAGGCACATGAAGGACGGGCCTTTCTCGTCTCCCACATTCGGGAACATTTCCATCTCGTCCAGTAATTCGTCGCGCATGTAGAAATCCAGATACGTGTTGGCTAGCAGCCGATCGAAGTCGTTCACAATGTGTCCACCATACATGATCTCACCGAAGATATAGCGGAGATCAGCCCATGGAATCTTCCCTCCTGCTGAGCTTTCCAGATAATTCTGCAAGCAGATCGCCGAATCTCGTAGATCGCCGAGTGAGAATGGATACATCATGTTGAAACCCAGAGGTCCATACATCTTGCGTTCCATGAGCACAGCGTGGAAGTGGCACAGCCCAAACAGAATCGACTTGACCTTGCCTTCTGCCTCCTCGATGTATTCCTTGGGGAAACTCACAAACGCTCGCTTCAAATTGGCTTTCAGACCAGACGGAGGCTCGTTCGTCAGCTTTATACAGCGATTGAGAACTCCAATCGGGATCGAGTTGGACGGGTCCGAAGTCAGGAACAAGCGGAAGTTCTTGTGCGAACCTTCCAAAGCAAACTCGTCCAGCTTCTTCTCTAGTGCCAGCAACCAGCGGGGCATCAAGTGAATATTGTTGAGGATAACCCAGTGTCCATTACGGTGTGCAACCTCCAGTCGGTCCATAGCGAATACGTCTTGGCCCTGACCCATGGACACATTGTGGTAACTCACACCTCGCTCGAAGCCATACTTGACGCTGAGTTTATCGACACCTGCCACCACATCTGCACCAGGAGACAAGATGAAGTACAAAGGCGTCGTGGGTGTCGAATCCAAGTACGAATTGTCCATCACTTGCAACGCGTTGAGTGCCGAGTCGCAGTCACAGTAGTTACTGCCGTTGGGCAGAACTTGACGCACAAACTCATTCACAGCCACCGTCATACGATCTGGACGTAGACAACGCACCACCAGAAGCTTGAGGAATGGCGTCCGATCCAGTCCAGCCCAGTCCAGCGGAAGCTTCTCAGACTCTGGAGTCACGTGGTTGTACCATTCACGGAAACGCGAGGACGCTTCCTTGAGATCTTGCGGCATCTTCTGGAACTCTTCGAGCTGAGCCAACATGTTGATAGCCGTCCACTGAGCTGGAGGCAGCCAGTCAATGGGGTTTGCTTCTTCTTCACCTCCACCGCCTGCTGGCTTCTTGGGCCCTCTTAACAGGAACTGCATGTAGGCTTCTTGCACTCGCACGTCCTCGCCCAGAATACCGCGACGCATGAGGTTGAACGTGAGTTGGGAAAGGAAAATGAGCTTGTGCGCCTCGAAGAGACCACGCGATACCCACGTGAAGATGGTGATTCGCAACGACTCGCGTAGGTTCAGTACTCTTTCGCTCTGTTTGTCGCTCTGGGGCGCTCGGTCGATTGAGTTGTAGAAGAACGTGATGAACGAGTCCAGACTGTAGCGATACATGTGGTCGATGGCGCTAAGCGTCGTGAGTAGGAAGTAAAGCATGGCCCCTTCTGCTGCTACTGGGCGATAGAGTTCCCGCGTGTTGTTGATGACGATCTCTGTCTCCTGGTTCTTCTTGACAGAGATGGAGATATCCGTCGCCTTCTTCTTCGTCTCCTCCAGACTCTCGATCAGAGGCACATCACTCAGAATATCGTCAGGCGCATTGGCTAGACGCTCCAGTAGCTGATCTTCCAGTTCCACTAGGTCGATCTTGAACTTCTGGAACGCTAGAACAAGCTCTTGTTTCTGTGCTTCGAGTTCTGGCTGCTCCTTCTTGACCACCTTTTCCAGTAACTGATCTTCCAGGCCACTCTCAGTAGCGATAAAGTTGATCAAAGTACACTGAGCTGCGATCTCTGGCTTGTAGTGAGGATTCGACAGTTTTGTTTGCAGATACATGAAGAAGTTGGGGTCGTACTGCACTTCTTCTCCCGCCAACTTCAAAAAGAGATTGGATCCTTTCTTGTACACTGCACGTCCAAGCACCGGGTCGAGTGTAGCGTCGATCTCTTCGCCAACATTCTCAATGATCAGCACGTGGCCATTCACAATCGCCGTCTCCGTTTTCCGTAGCCATTGGTTCTGACTCAATTGTAGCACTACCAGACCTCGATCTTTCTCTTTCTCGCGAAGCCACTTGATGCCTTGCAGCTGCGGATCAATGACCAGAGGCCAACGTTTGCAGCTCGTAATGATTGCACCATTCTCAATCGAGATCCGATCTGCTGGAAGCCCTTCACTCATCATCTTCGCGTTCTTACCTTCCGTCGTCAACATGGACAATGGGTCAATACCCTCAGTGATGGGAATTCCCTTACTCATGAGATCAGGAAACCACGTTTGCTGCCATAATTCCTTACGCACAGCTTGGTCGAATGCTCCGATGTACGACACGAAGGCAGCAGCCAGCAACGAGTTGCCAACGACCATCACTCCAGAGTTCTTCAGTTGCTCGATCTCAATGCCCCAACGTTCATTCTCGCTCGCTAGCCCATTCACCAGTTTCCCAGCCAGTAAGAGTCTGTTCTCACACGACTCCTTCATCTCCTCCACCTTGAGTTTCTCTTCGGTGGCTTGGCATAGCGTGTTCTCCAGAGCTTCAAGTCGCTTCTGCACTTCCGCCACTTGACCCATGGCACGAGCCAGTTGCTCCTCAGCCTCCTCTTTCTTCTTCTTGGAAGCTTCCAGCGAGTCCATCAGAGGCTTCACACGCACGTAGATGCGGTTAAACGTGTAGATATTGACGACCCAGGAGCAAATGTTCGCAGCGGCTGAACTTTTGGACGCCATCTTCTCGGCAGTGAACTCTGGGTCGGCGATCAGCGGCTCGATACGCGCAATGTCCGCTTCGGGAATGTCTTCGCCTTTAAATTCTTTGAGCGCATCCAGGAATGCACCGGCGTTGTTCATCATCTTCTTAGCTCGATCCCATTTGTGGTTCTTGTACTCCTTCTCGACTAAGATCAAACACGCCTTGGTGACGTTGTCCACTCCTGCTGGAGGCTTGGGCAGGCTCTTGAGCTCTGTGATGGCAGCTTTGGACAGACAGTCGACAGCTGCAGCGGCGGCATCCATGGCAGGTTTGGCTTGACTCAGCTCCTTCTCTGCCTCTGCTGCAAGCTCTGCGGCTGCTGCACTGGCCGTTTCAGCCTTGAGTTTCTCCTTGTTGGCGTTCTCCTGTTGCACTTCGGCTCCCGCTTTCTCTCGTCCCATTTGCTCCAGTAGTTGGTCAGTCGAGGCCTGTTTCTCAGCCACTTTGACCATGGTATGCTTGAGGTCCACCTGTAATTCAGCCACATCCGCCGACGTTTTACGGAGAGTAGAGAGTCCATCGTCCAAACGAGAGATTTGACGTTGAATATCCTCCTTCCGCTGCTTGAGTAGGATCTCGTAGAAGCTGATAAGTTCTAGGAAACTCTTGGGCGTCACGTAGTTGTAGCGCCTCTGGGTTTCATAGTAGGTTTTACTCATCTCAGTCACGGAAATGTGCACATCGGCCATGTGGTTTGCCAGGTTCCGTTGCAGTGCCAGATCCCCGATGTCCTCAAACTTCTCCAAGAAACTGGACGCTACACGCACCAAAGCATCGCGGGGCCAAGGATGGAACCAATCGATGACTGTGCAGTTCACTAGACCAGGGAATCGACGAGCTCGAACGCGGAAAACAGCGCCGACAGGAGAAAAACACATGATCACTCGGAAGTTGAGACGGATACGCAGCAGTAAAAAGTCCATAAGAGCGTCCATCGCGTCGGGGATTCCGTTAGCTTTTGCTTCGCTACGTAGAGAGCCTAGCAGGCCATCGAGATCTTCTTTAGGGAAGAGGTCGGGGATCCAACCGGACGACAACATGTCGTTGATGTAGACGAGGAATCGCTCGTTCACGATCTGCGAGTCCGTCATGAGAAAGACCAGGGGGAGGCCCTGAACACCTGCAATCTTGAACATCTCCGCCAGACTCTCCTTCAAGTCTTCGATGCGAAAATTGGACGTGACGGACAGTTGACGCACGTCGAAGCCGCAAATGTGAGACGCCAGACGAGACAGTGATTGCTTGCCACTTCCTCCGACACCGATAAGCATTGCGTTACCTCCAGGGTTCCCGATGATACGGCAGATGCGAGTCACGTGTTCCATAGCGTTGTCAAATAGCTCTAGATTCATCATGGAATACTTCGAGTTGTAGTCGTCCAGCTGCTCCACCAACACCTTGTTAAGAGCTTTCATCGAAGACACAGGCATGTAGACGCTGTCGGCCCCAGCCACTGGAGTTGCGAATGTTGTAAAAATGTTGACGGGAACAGGAGCGCTGTCTTTTGAGCCTGAAGGTGGAGGCGGTTGGTCGTTAAAAAGCGCAACTTGGTCCAAGTCTGGCAACGTCTTTTTGGTCACCTCTCGTATGCGATCACCGAACTTGAGAATGTCCTCATCGTTGATCAGACGGTCACAGAAGACGCGAGTGGCTTCGTGGACCCACAGACGAGCGAATGAGAAGGCAGTGGGGAAGAATTCACCTTTGGAGCGAGTGAGACCTTGAAAGATGTTGGACAGCTCGCGCATATTCCAGTTGTAGACGAACTTTGTGGCACTTGGGAGGAATCTGTTGACCATTTCTTCATGTAGAAGAATGGATACATTGACGATGTTCTCACATACTGCCATTACCGAAGGGCCAAAGCCTCCGTTCTGCATGTGTCCCTTTAAGATTGAGTTGTAGATGGTCTTGAGATCTTCCCGTCCAGGCATCATACACGCGAACAGAGCATAGTGGCGCTGTAAACGCTCATCGATAATGAAGGAGCCAGCTGTAGGATTCATAGCCGACAAGTACTGTACGTCCACGATCTCCTTTCTGAAGCCCAAGTCCACGCGGTCGAACAACGTCTTGTAGTCCATGTGTTGACGTAGCAGAGCCAGCGAGTTCTGCGTGCCATACGTCTCAATGTACGGCAGATTCAGGTCGTCGATAAAGTAGATCAACTTCTTGGTAGCTGGAGGGCCAAACATGCGACCAGAACGTTTGTCAATCACAGACTCCAGTTGCTGCTGCAACTTAGCTGAGTCTGTGTAGTAGTTCATGTTGATGTTCGAGAAGAGTATGTCGTCATCCAGATCTCGCAGGAAATTCTTGAGGATCGTCGTCTTTCCAGTTCCGCTGCCGCCTACGAGCATCGCTGGTCTTTGACGAGCCACCAGAGTCTCCACGAGGAATCGAATACGCACCGAGTCGTTCGTACTGATGACAATGGAGTTAAATGGCGTGTCTGCTGGACCGTTTCCGATGGAACCTGGCATGTACTTTGGCACTTTGGTACTCCAACTCTCGAACTCTCCCGACTCGAGGTTGTAGAAGTAGTCGAAACAGAGCCCTTCCTTCGGATATTTAACGTTCGTGAACGTCGAACACCATAGTTCGTGGAAGTTCTTGCGGTAATCAATGCTCTTATCAACGATTAGAGGGCCGCCAAACGCCCACGTCGCACAGAAGACGAAGATGGACTCGATCACCTCTGGGTTCTTCTTCTCCACTGGGATGTTCCCCAGAAGTCCTTCGAGCAAGTAGCAGATCGTCGACACCTGGTTGATCAGGCGCACTGGAGCCACTTGTTTGTATCCCTTCCGCATGAGATCGTAGATGGGGTCCACGTATTTGTCAAAGAGTCCGGGCAGATACGTGCGTTCGACTTCTTCCTCACGCTTAGCCACCCACGACTCCATGAATGGCCGCCAACCGATATCAATCTCATTGATAAAGAGAATTCCAGCTCTTGAGACGGTAGCGGGAGTGGCGTTTTTAAGCGAGTTGATCTCGAAGACCATCCGCATGGCACTACTCAGAGGGATGCGCTCATTCGACACTAGAGTCAGCACTTTGTTGTCGTCCATGACTGTGTTCATCGATTCAATCCACACGGCGTCAATATCTCCATCAAGTACCACCCATTTGTACGTTTGACTCTCGTAAAATCCCTGCTCCGAGTAGTTTTTGGCCATTCCACGCATGATAATGGACAGCACGCCATCCTTCCAGTCCTTTGACAGCGTCATGTAGCCATAAAGCTCATCAGAGGTGACAGCCTTGGGGTTCAGAGTCTCATACACGCATATCTTCTTCTCCTTCCCGAGGTTCCAGCACTTGGCCAGAGCCTGCCACGTCGTTGTCTTGGCACAACCAGCAGGTCCCAGGAGCATAACGGAGTGACGCACATCAATCAGTTCTTGCAGTTGGCAGATCTTGAGGATGAACGAGTCATCGTGCTGCAAGTTGTTGGCTTTACAGACCGTCACCGCCTTCTCTCGCAGCTCTGTATTGACCTTGGGAGCCACTTCGACGCCGATAAACAGATCGTTGATAAGACGCAGGAAGATCGGCGTGTCGTGGTGCGGGATCTTCGGTGTGTTGAAGTCTCGTAGAGCTCTCATCAGCACTTTATCCTCTTCAACATCAGGCTCTGCACGCTTGAGGATACCCGCCACCCGAAGCACTGATTTAACTGCACGTAGACCCCAGTCGTAGTGGAATTGCTTGGATAGCAGCTCGCCACTCAGCTCGTACAGCGTTACGAACTTGATCGCCAGTGTACGAGCCTGTTGGAATCCTTCAGACATCAACATGTTCTCGCAAATCGGCTTCAAGTCTGGTCGGATCATAGCACAGGAGCGGAAAAGAACCTTGAGATTCTCCGGTAATTCGGTACGACCAGCGTAACCAGGATTCATCGTGATGAAGAAGCCACATGTCGGGATTAGTGTGATTCGATCGGATGCGCCCATGAACTCAAACTCTCCGACGACAACAGGTGGAGTTCCTGCGGGCAAAGACTGGTACTTGGCCTCTCGATTGGCAGGGACAGCGTTGAACACAATAGCGTCCTGGATACACTTGACCTGTGTAGCCACCACACTGAGCACTTCAATATTGATGCGATTGAATTCATCAAAGCAACCCCAGGTGCCAGTTTGACACAACCCACGGAAGATATCCGCCATCGTCTGGTAATTCATCTGGTCCGAGCAGTTGAACACGTAGCAACACAGAGCCATAGCACGAGCCAAGTCTTTTGTCGTCTCGGTCTTGCCAGTACCCGCAGGACCAGCTGGAGCTCCTCCCAGGAACAATCTCAACGCCATCGTTAGCGTAATGTAACATCGATCTGTAAGAGGAGTGATCACGAGACGACCAGTATTACCGATCCATTCGTACGAATACTTGGAACGGAAGTCTGTGATGCGGATATCCACGTCGTAGTTCTCTTGTCTCCAGATGAAGCGAAGTTGCTGCTGCCACATGATACTGAGAGGCCCTTCCACTTTCTCGTCTACCAGTTTCTTGACGACATCACGCGAGTGAACGTCAAGAGTGATCAACGCGATGATTTTGCAGCGGTCTGGACTGGATAAGTTCCCTAGCACCAAATTGATGAGCTGCTCTAGTCTCTGATTGCATATCGTCAGGTATCTCTTGACCGAGTCTTCCTGGCCATTCTCGAACTCTTCTAGAGCCATCTCCGTCTCCTCTGTCCAGTAAATCTGCGTCGAGTTCAGCACAACTTGAGCTGGATAGTCAAAGAGCCACTGGTGTCGAGGTTTCTCCACGTCCCAATTAGCTGCTGTCTCGATTGAGTCGTGCATCTCTTTGCGAAGACAAAACCTCATGGCTTCGGTAAGTTCATTCAGCCAACTCTCAACTGCTCCAGCCATAGTGAAAATAGTCGGTAGCTTTACCGACTCGCCGTCTTTTGCCACCATCGTGTGTGCAGCGTTGGGCGAGTCGTCTTCAAACACAAGGTCACACAGAGAATCGTAGCAGTCACCTAGGAAGGGCATAATCTTCTTTGGGTTGTTGCCGTTCGACAGAATCTCCAGTAGCGCCACGTTCGAGACGAAATAGAAGCGAGGAAAGATCTTCTTCTTCTTGTCCAGATACTCGTTGAGCGACTTCTGACACTTCTCCAACATCGCTGTCATCTCTTTTAGTGACTCGAGACGACTATCCACTGAACAGGCGAGCACCACGTTGGGCTCCATCACTGCGTTCTTCATGAGATCCTTGAAATTCGAGTCGATCGACTCGAATGTACGGGTATCGTCAGGGAGCTGGTTACGGATATCGGGAGAGCTCAAGAAGATACTTTCGAGAGAAGCCCACTGCTTGGACACAGACACCCACTCCTTCAATACTTCCTCCACGTGCCCTAAAGTCTTCTGTGAAGCCAGTACGCGGTCCTTGAAGAACTCGACGAACTTGCCCATACCGATCATTGTCTGCAGCTCCAGTTGATTGCTCTCTAGTGACTCGACAGCTTCTTCCGAAGGTTTGACAACGAACGTGCCCGAATCTTTGTGGGGCACGTACTCGAGTGTGAGCCTTTGCCACAACTCCTCAATCATTTTCAGCTTCTTTTCGATCTTCTGCTCCTTATTGGCTGTCTCCACGATCTCGCCCACGTCGTCCACGTGTAAGTGGAGATTAAGTTTTAGGAGATCAGCAAAGCAGAACTTGGGGTCCTTCGGCTCTATGGCCTTTACGTGACAGATGGCAGATAGAGCTTTCCAGTGGCGATCTTGCATGGCTTCTGAGTGCAGATCATTGATCAGAGGCAGAACCGTCGACATGTTCTTCACGAGCTGCTCCGTGTCCTTGTATACTTGCCAGCCTTTGATGATCTGGTGCTCCGTAGCTTCCATCTTTAACTGCTTCATGAACGCTCGCGCGTACGCCTCAAAGGTATCTGTCTGGATGTTAGCCCATAGAGTACTCTTCCAATCATCAAACGTGGCTAGAACCAGATCCTTCAAGTCCCAGCATTTCTTCAGTTGTTGCAGCTCGTACAGAGTATCAGTCGTCTCCTGATACTTTGACACTTGGAGCTCGAAGAGTTCTTCCAGTTCATTGAACTCCCGAGCCTGTTGCATCTTCTTGTGAAGAGCCGAAGCGAAGTTGTTCATCTGCGCATAGGCGTCATTCGGTGCGCCCTGGAAACTGAACGGTGCCGTCGTTCGGAACTCATTCCGGAACTTGCGCATATCCAAAAAGAAGGACTCAAGTTCTTCCTTGATAGATTCGACCTCCGCCATCTGCAGTGGCATGATCTCTTCTTTCTTCTTGAACGTCTTGTTGACGATCGCTTCCCACTGCATCGGCGCTGCCTCCAGGTAATCCTGAACTGCGTGGTCTCCAATCGTCGTGTCTTCTACGTTGATGCCGTGAAGTTTCAGTAGATGAACTGCTTCTCGTAGCGGATCAAAGAGTTCATTCGTAGCGTCCATCTGCTTGCGAACATCACGAATGTGCGTCATAACACGCTTCAACGCGTCCTTGTTCTTGTCTGCCACTTGCTCCTCCAGTCCCTTAATGACAGTCTCCATAAAGTTGTGAAGCCCCAAGAGCTTGTTGACCACGTGTTGGTGCAGATACGTCGTGTACTGGTAGACCCACTTACTTACCCACGTCAACATGGCCGTCTTGATAGGCTGAGAGTTAACACGTAGCCATCCGATGTCCGTGGGCGTCGTCAAGTTCTCGATCTCACTCGCCACTTGCTCGTACTTCGTAATATCGGCGTTAAACTTCTCCAGGTCCAGCGTATCTGCACCAGCGTTAGCGCCTGGCACCATGGCAGTCGTTAGAAAAGTCTGGAAGTGAGCAGCCATGTCGGACTCCCAGAGATACCCGTAGCCGTCATATTTACGCTTGAAAGACGTCAGCATCGCCTCGTTCTCTTCTTCGTACTCACTTATCGTAGCCAGCATCATAGAGATCGTCATATCCGAGTGCATTTCCTTAAGGTACGAGCCTCCTCCGTCTGAGTCCAGACGTTTGACTGCAGTCGCCACGTTGAAGAACGAGTTGATCCATAGCTGAATCGTGTCGCTCAGCCCTTTGCCGTGATTCTCACCGATACTAGGATTGAACTGCACCCGATGCGCGATGAGATCCAGTTTGATTTCCAGCATTGGCAAGCGGTTCTGATGGTCTTTCGTAGCCTTTTGAGTTCCTTCTCGAAGCGGGGCTTCTCGCTCTCCGTCTTTGCCTCCCGATGGGTCCAGTTGCTTGGCTAGAAACTCAAGCGAAGAGCAGATAACACGCGCCACTCCGCTGACAACGATATCATTGACAAAATCGACGTAGGCCTTCCATTGGGCACTGTTCACACCAACAATGCCCGTGTTCGACTGCTTCAAACGTCGATGGATTTCTGTCGCCCCTTCTCGAATCTTGAGTGTCCGCTGGACGATGTAACTCTTGTGTTGACGCTCATGTTCACTCACTGCCACAGGTTTCGCCTGACGCTCCAACAGCGGCACGTTCCACGCACTGAGCGTATCTTGGATCGTGTTGAGGTTTTCCTTGAGGTTAGTCACAATCTCGTTCGCTCCTTCCACCGCCTTCCGGCACTCGTCAATGAACGTGTCGATCCCTGAGCTTTTCCAGTTGAGCTCTTCGATGCCTCGGCCAGCACAGGCGTCAATGTTCTGGATGTGCCGACGTACCAGGGGCTCCTCCAATGGATGAATGCCTTCGATCATGGCGTTGTACGGCTCCACAATGTACATGAGTTCGCCTCGATACTTGCGGAAAGTCTCTTCTTTGGTAGAAATCTGCAGAGCTGACTGCGGTACCTCAATGTTCAGTAGTCGAAGGTATTTAATCTCACGTAGCAATTTCTCCAATGCTGGGTCGAAGTTTACACGAAGACAGCGAGTCTGTGGGTGACGCAGCAGCAGTGGCAACTTGAGTTTGGCCTGGGAAGAGGCTTCAACGTCACGACTCCATTCCTCCACCTTCTGGTTCTCATATTCCTGTAGAGAAGCCATGATAGTGCCGTAGACTTTGTAGACTTCTTTGGCTTCTTCGCGCTCCATAACGTTCTGGTTGAGTTCTCGTAGCTTCTTCATCGGATGTTCGATACGCTCCACTAGTCCCCGACACCACGTGAGCGCACCAGCTACCGGGGGCAAGTTCCAGCTGATGGGAGGGGCGTCACGACAATGTAAGAACAACTCCTGCACCAGCTTCAAGTCGTGGCCGTAGCTCTGCACGAGAGCAACGTGCTTCTTCTCCAATTCGTCCTGAATGATCGGTCGATTGAGAAGACCCTCGAACGAATCGAGCAGCTGAAAGCGGCCGAAGATGGTGGAGCAGTCGTCAAAGCCCTGAGTGAGCACAGATCCTAGACGACGTTCCAGTTCCTTGATCTTACAGCGAAAATCGTAGAAATTGTCGTCAAACTTGGACGCACCCACATCCATAATGTCCAGTGACACGCCCTTGAACGTGTTGACAGCCTCTGTGAAGTCTGCGTGGATCTGTTGGACGCTCAGCGTCAGCGTCTTGCCTTTAGTGCCGCCCACCTCGATCTTGGACAGTTTACTGAACTGCACAATTGTTTGCGTGAGATCGAGAATGTCGTGGCAGCGCTCGAGGAAGCTGTCAAGGCGGACGAAGAGCGCATTGCCTTGGATACGCCACGGATTGGACGGACATTCCGCATTAGCTGTGGCCCTGTAGTCGAAGTAAGTGCTCTTAAAGGCTGAACATACTTGTAGAGTCGTCTTGAGTTGCTCTACAGCTTGTCCAGCTTCATCTTGGTCAATAAGAGCAAAGATCAACTCGCCACTCAGATATTTCCGTGCTTGGTTAATGAGTGAGTTGCAGATCTCCCGCATGAGCACCACGAGACGAGCCGGGGTGTTGTAGTGTTTGGAGTTCTTCCATATCAAGAGAATAATGTGAAGCATCGGCTTGAAGAGCTCCGTAAGAGCTGGAAAGTCTTCGTCGTTGTTGAGGCGAATGAACCATTCCTCCAGCGTACGCAGATACTTCATGTTGTCATTGGCCTCGATACGAGCCGTGAAGACTTCCTTACACAGTCGAGCAAACGTGGCGCAATACGTACTCTTGGATCGATCCAAAGCTGTGAGGATCTTGCGCACTTTCTTGGACTGAAGCTGGTCGAAAATAGAGTTGAGATTGGCAGCTTTAAGCTTCCAGAACTCAATCTCGGCATCGGGAGTTGGGTGGAGCCCTTGCTTGAGTAAATCCTCGGGGTCTTGTTTGAGCACATTTTTGATCTGTTTGGTCCAGATGACGATGGAGCCTTCGAGTAGAGACACTTTATTGCTCAGATTGGTGGCGTTGCCGTCGATAGGAGGCAGCGGGAGACACGTCTCTCCTTTGGTGGCTCCACTGATGATCGATACTGACGCCATATAGGAATGGAATTTGTCCACCACTTCTTTAGACGCGACTTCTCCCCAACCTTCTTGGTTAGCGACGTTGGAGAATAAAGGCAGGTATATCTCCGCCACCATCCGCTCCAGATACTCGACACTACTGGGAGTCAGCTCATTTACCATAATGTCGCTCAGGACGTTCGTGGGTGTGATGGCGGTCTTGTGGAACTTGGTGAAGCACACAGTCTTGCCTCGAGGAAGAGTTGCTGGCATCTTGATGGACGCGATGACGTTGTCTCCAGAGAAAGCGAGCATCGTCACGTCTTCGTTGTCTAGGAACTCTTTGATGCACATTCTGTTAGCACAAAGGGGTAAGTGGATCCACCATGAACAGGCCAAGAGATGGTTAATTCTCCACGTACTCATTGGGTTCTGTTGCATATTTGGCTGTGAACTTGGGACCGACTAGTTGAGGGAACGCAGTGGCCACTCGCTGCTCAATATACTTGAGAGGGTTCACGTCGTTCTTGTTAGGCGCTCGCTCGCCGTCTTCGCCTCCCATGGGTGCGAACCTTCACGTGTGATGAAATCGTCCAGTCGGGGCCTGTTAGCGAGTGAGCTCTTGGCTCGAGTGGCCGTCGCTTCACAAAGGTTTGGATCGCAACTAAATTGCGGGAAAGAGGGGGGGGGCTGCATGAAACGACGTATTTAAGGCGTGAATAAAAAGTGTCATCATCATTGCAGTCGCCATTCATTAAAACCAGCGAAACTAACAATCAACTGGCAGCGAAGACTTAGAACTTGCCCAGCAGCGAAGCATACACGGCCATGACAGTCCATAGTCGGTTCTCAGCCTCGTCGAAGACCACCGAGCGCTTACCGTAGAAAACCTGCAGTCATAACAAACAATACGTTAACCGATTGATCCAATAAGACTCGGTTCATTACTGCACGCGGCGTACCTCGTCGTCGACCTCGTCCTGGTGACGCGGTAAGCAGTGCAGGAAAATGTGATTGTCAGCGGCGTTCTCCAGCATCTTGTTGGTCACCTGGTAGCCAGCGAAGGCCTTGAGACGCTTCTGAGACTCCTCCTCCTGGCCCATACTGATCCACGTGTCGGTGGACACGACGTTAGCGCCGTTGACGGCCTCCACGGGGTCCGACGTCATGAAAAACTTGGTGCCAGCCAGCGCAGCCAGACGCTTGGTCTCCTCCACGACATCCTTATCGGGTTCGTAGCCTGCGGGCGTGGCGATCTGGATGTTAGCGCCAAGCTTGGGGGCAGCCAGCATGTAGTCGTGCAGCACGTTGTTGCCATCGCCCACCCAGGCGAAGGTGAGGCCCTCGAAGCCGCCAAAATGCTCTTTAACTGTCATATAATCGGCCAGCATCTGCAGCGGGTGGTACTTGTCCGACAGTGCATTGATCACCGGCACAGTGGCCAATTGACCCAGCTCCAGGATGTCCTTGTGGCCGTACACACGCGCCAGGATGATGCTATTGAAGCGCGAGAGCACGAGGGCCGTGTCCTTGAGCGTCTCATTCACGCCCAGTTGGATATCGTCCGAGGAAAGGAAAAGACCTTTGCCTCCCAGCAAGTGCATTCCCACTTCGCTCGAGATACGAGTGCGAGTACTGCGCTTTTGGAAGATCATGGAGCAGATTTCGCCTGTAAGAGGTCGGGGAGCAGTGGCCTTGGTCAAAGGGTCCGAGTACGTGGCCTTGAACTCCTGTGCCTTGGCCACGAGCGCCGTGATCTGCTCCGTCGAGAGCTCAGCTGTGGACATAAAGTTCTGCCCCTTTAGGGAGGCCAACTGCGCATTCACCGCAGCAGAGGAGAGTTGCTGAGTCTGTTGGCTCATTCTGAAGACGAAAGTGGAAGGTGAGGCACAAGATGTGAGTCGGCGAGTGAGTGAGAGGAAAGACATTGGAGTAGCGGCAGCCCTGGCGCTGTGTCACACAGTGTGTGGTGGTGGAGTTGGGGGTTTGCCTTCTTATGGCAAGATGCAGGATTTGCGAAGAATACAATCTTCAAGTCACTCGCAAACAGCCGTGGTAAACACCGGGATTAGCGGTGGAAAGTATCATACAACGTAGTAAAGCTTTACTTAAACATTAAGTTTATGCACAACACTGGCTCCGCTATTTCTGGTATAAGAAATCCTCGCGCTTCGTTGGGTGAAGCGATGGGAAATGTGCCTCATGCGCTGCCTGACTGCAGCCCAGACTCGAGCATCTATAGAACACGACATGTTGTTGGCAAGAGGAGCCATTACTGTTGATCGTATTCACACCACCACCACCGCTATCTTTTTAATCTCTCGTCCGTACACTTCCTACTTAATGGAACACCTGGGCCTCCGACTTGCCGAAGAAGAGCTGGCTCAATTGCCGGTCCCACCACGACATGGCCGGACTCAGACCGTTTTTCAAACGCTCCTTACTCACCTCCTTGGCCACGCGCTTGCGGGTCTTGGGGGCCGTGCGACTGCGCTTGAGGTCGTAGGCCTGGCCGATCAAGGCCATAAAATCGATGAAGGCCTTGGTCGGGTTGAACTGTCCACTCAGGACGCCCCACTCGCTCGTCGCGTAGTCCGACGGAAACTTGTGGCTGCAAGAAAGAAGAAGGAGAAGAAACGGCTTCCGTTAATGAGACCACGCAAATAATAATCGTTACAGGACGAAAAACGTACTGATAATTGTGGTAGCCTTCGCCGATAGCGCCAATGGCCACGATGAGGTTCTCCACGGCCCGGATCTTGGGGTCATAGGGCTTGTAGCCGAAAAAGTGAGCCACACTGTTGACCATCCAGGTCATGTGCAGCACCCAGACGTGGCGGAAGACACCGCCCACCCAGAATCCAGCCCATGCGTCGCCCAGATAGTAGCCGATAGCCGCAGGCAACACGTAGCACATGGCCAGCACGGTCTTGAAGTAGTGCTTCATCTGGAAGGTCACAACGGGGTCGGCCAGCAGGTCCGAGAAGTCGAGCTTCTTGCCGGCCTCACGCACATTCTTGTGTTTGCGCACCATGACCCAGCCCATGTGCGAGAAGAAGAGACCACGCTCCGAGTTGTGCGGGTCGGCCGTCGTGTCGGAGCCCTTGTGGTGCACGCGGTGGTCCCGCGACCACTCGAAAATGGTCCCCTCAAAGGCCATCGAGTTGCACAGCATGAGGAACATACGCAGAGGCAACTTAGCCTTGTAGCCGCGATGTGACCAGAGGCGGTGCGCGCCTGCCGTGATGCCCAGACCGGCCACAACCCAGAGGACCCCCCAGAGCACCAGAAGCTGGAGCAGCGAGCAGTGCGGCATGACGAAAAGTAGCGCATAGAGTGCCCCCACATGCCACGAGGCCAACACGATCACGTTGTACCAGACCACCTCGGACCACTTGAAGCCAGCCTCGGCCTGTTCCTCCGGTGCGAATAGCTCTCCCTCCTCCTCGGCAAACTCGTTGTCCATGTCCGTCTTGATCAGTTGCTCCGTCTTGGCGGTCGCAGCAGCAGCAGCGTTGGGGCGCAGCTTGGCGGTGGGTCTCTCCGCCACGTTGGCGTCCATTCTACGATCAGATTTGTCCGGGAAGGCGGCGGCAACTCGTCGAGTGAAAAGATGTTTTGATGACATCATGGCATCGCGTATTTACTTTTACCGCTCCAAGATATTAAGTGTGACGGGAAACAGTTACCGTACACAGGCCCTAGTGACTGAAGGACATTTGATACAGCTCGAGATCGATTAGGCAAGGTATAGATTATTGGGATGATGCTTTGTCGGCTCAGGATTGGCCAGTGGCGCGTCCTGCAAGCGTTATGGGAGGGTCTCGGTTGCCAGCTACGCATGACAGGGTGCCAAAGATAAGATGATGGAGAATCTCCATTGGACTTTATTTGTAGATCCCACGTCATGGTGAGCTTTCTGCTCCTTCCGAGCTTCGTTGAACCTTTGCCGTGCCTGCGGATCACGTGAGTGAGGAGTCGGCGGTATGGCTTGGTAGTGGCCACTAATTAATTAATAGTTGACGTCACGTAGAGAATTTTAGTAGTAATTCACAGCGTGTTCGTAGCGTCCGCTCGTGGATGGCAAAACAGAGCATTCACTGTCGATGAGGACCCTAAGCGCGATCAAGATTGGCGTGTATTTATAGTCGAGTTCACGCCCGTTGGCCCAGTCACTAAAACTGATCACGACGTGTTTTACTGCTGTCCATGGACGACGGCAACAGCAAGAGAATGACTGCCAACGCTTCCCCGCCTTCCTCATCGACGCCCGAACTTGCTAGTGTCAAAGTCTTCTGCCGTCTACGCCAGCAGAACCAACAGGAAAAGCGCGAAGGGGCCGTACAATGGTTGATAGATACATCGGATCGTCTTTCTGTCCCTCTATCTGAGTGCTAACTGATCCCCGCTGCAGCTCGACAGTCGTGGGCGGCCGCACCATGTTCCTCCGCAATGAGCGCTGCGAGGTGGACGAGATCCGCTGCACTTTCGACTGTATTTTCGACATCCACTCGACACAGGAGGAGGTTTACACGCACACAGCCAAGCCTCTCGTCCACGAGTTCCTGCAAGGCAACAACTGGTAGGCCCTATCTACACTAGCCACTCGTCTCACTACTCTCATATTCGTTCCAATTTCTAGCACCATCTTTGCCTACGGACAGACAGGCTCAGGCAAGACACACACAATCCTGGGACCTAAAGACGGCGTCCTGGTAAGTGCCGATGAAGAGGGAGGCATCATTTCTCGTGTCGCTAAAGATCTCTACGAGGAAGTGGAGCGTGCCAGGACCGACCCTATTGAACTCAAGGTGTCGTTCGTGGAGATCTACATGGAACAAATCCGCGATCTGCTCGCTCCCAGCGGCAGCAGCGGCACAATTGGCACACCTACGAACGGTGGACTCAAGATCCGCGAGAGTACACAGCATGGAGTCTACATTGAAGAGATGATGCGTATCCCTAGCAAGTCCGAGGCAGCCATGATGGAACTTGTGAAGAGCGGGACACTCAGTCGTGCAGTGTCCTCTACTCGCATGAACAAAGACTCGAGTCGTAGTCACTCAATTCTGATGATTTCCTGTGTTCGTCTCATGAGCGGGAGACGCGCCACTATGTACATCGTCGACCTTGCTGGCTCAGAGCTCGTGAACAAGACCAATGCTAGTGGTCGGGTGCTACAGGAAGCCAAAGCAATCAACAAGTCGCTTTCGGCACTTAGCAACGTCATCAAGGCGCTTGGAGAAAGCAAACGGCATGTACCCTACCGTGACTCGAAGCTCACTAGACTACTGCAAGACTCACTAGGTGGAACAGCCAAGACCTGTCTCATTCTCGCGGCGTCGTGCAGTTCGTACAACATGGCGGAAACGATTTCAACGCTACGTTTTGGCCTACGCGCCAAGGAGATCAAGAACCCAGTTGTGCAGCGGATCGACAGAGGTGAAGGTGCTGCCGCTTTCGCAGCGGGTACCATATTTAAGGAGCTCTATCAGCGCGCCATGGAGGACATGGAGGCGAAGAACCGCAAAATCGACGAGTTGCAACGCCTGTTAACTGCGAAGCTCCAGGAGAACCAACACCCCGATGAAGTGGAGACGGACTCGAGTGACCAACCAGCAGCGAGTGCTCAGGACTCGGGCAAATCTCAAGACACTGAGGTTTCTGACGGAGATCACTCCAGCCGAGATGGCGATAATGAGGAAGAGGATGGTTACAGCGCTGACGAAGAAGAGAACGATCCAGCACAGACTGACGCTAAAAACATCACCAAGCTTGAGCTCGCGAATCAGACTTTGGGGGAAGAAAACAAGCGGCTGTTTGGTGTGTTGGAGGCACTAGAGAAGAAGCTGGGTGAGGTCACTGTAGATCTTTCCACTGGCAGACCGACCCTCACTCTCTTCAGGCAACGCGATTCAGCGGCAGAAGGGAAGTGTACTGCTGGCGGAGAATCTCGAGAGGCTGCAGCCCCTTCGCTCAAGGTCTGGCTGGAGAGTGACCACTGGCGAAAGTCGCTCGAGTCTCGAACTGAGACACAAGGTGAAGATTTGGTGCAGCCGTCTCTTTGCAGTACGGAAAAGCCAACGATCACTCGGACACCACCCACCCAAGAAGCCATGATAGGAGCTCTCCCAACTGTTAACGGTCCACACACTCTCACTCTGTTGCCATCGCTACACGGTACAATGCCGCTGTGCTCAACACCTGAATGCGTACACCATGCCGACGCTGAGGCACTGTCCCGTCAGATCGTAGAGCTGAAGCTCCAACTGCATTATCTGTCTGAGAACGCGCGATTGTCTATAAGTGGCGAGAGCTATAGCATCGTGCTCGAGAATGCGCAACTGAAGACGCGCATTGAGGAGCTGGAGTTTCAGGCAAATCTGTGTAACGTGGCGTGTAGCCAGCTCGAGATGAAGAACCGCGCATGTGAAACGAGGCTGAGCAACCAAGAAACTCACATCGGATGCCTCCAGAACTCACTGCAAGAGTACCAAGGTTTGTTTAAGCAGCAGATCATTATGTCACAGGAGAAATGCCGCTTGCTTACTGACGAGCTCGAGTTCTACAAGAAGCTCGCGAGATGCAGCCAAGAGAGCTACCAGCACCTCGGTGGTAGTTCTTCGCCTGGTCGCCGTAAGAAAGGCAAGAGTCCGAGTCCAAAGAAGAATTCAACCAGTAGTAGCAGCAACAGCAGCAGCAGCAGCAAGGGAGCCTCGAATACCCTGTCGCTCTCTCTGTTCACTCGCGATGACAAAGCTGCAAATTCGTCCCAGCCATCATCGTGTTCTGCGTGGGCAAACCTTGGCACTCTGACTAGAACTGGCACTGACATCACGTTGGCTCCACTGACTGCAAGGGCGCAGCGCTTCATCGTCAAGCCCACTGGAGAGAGAGCGCCAAGCACGACGGAACAGACTCCACCAGCGAAAATCATTACATCTTTTCAGTGACAGGAATCGAGTGTGGGCAACTTCGAGTCTGAGCTTGGACGAGTTGGCTCAGTCATCCACGTTGCCTGTGTCCTCTATCGTGTCTCCGTCATCCTTGTTGAACTGCTAAACTGAAAGTTACGAAAAAGAAATATCTCAGCAAAAGATGACATTTGTCTGAGCCGCTACTTGTTGCTTGTCTACTGCTCGCCCGAAGACTGACTGTTGGGCAGCTTCTTCTGTGTCTTCAGCTCGTACTGCGCAGGAGTCCACGTCTTCATCTGAAGCGCGTGGATGTGCGTCATCTCCTCTTTGAGGCAGTCGTTCACCCGGCGTTGGCGATCTAGTAGCGATTGGCCTGTGGGTCACAACGTCGGAGTTAGTTCATTTTTGCTGGTTGGACACAGCACTCGCCACACAGACCTTCAAAGCCTCCGTGAACCACTACGAGGCTGAACTTGCTGCCGCAACCGTCGGACAAGTCCACGGCCTCCACCAGCGCGGCTCCAATCTCGCGGCGGATCTTGGTCTCCAGTTGATCAGGCGTCACCATGGTTACTGAATGTCCGGTATTGTGAATTCCGACCAAATTTGCCGTTTTGGTCCTATTCAGTGAATTCTGTTACGGTACAGTAGCTGGATTCTCTTTCAAGGCAAGTATTTCTTACCCCACCGGAGCTAAATTTTCGCTTGATTTGCTCAAAATGTAGCTTTTTCAAACTTAGGTCAAAGCTAAACCAGCTGTAATTGTTATTAAAGAGCCAAACGACTGGTTTCAAAATTCAGCTCTGGGTTGAATTTTGATTCGTCCTCCTTTGCCCCTTAAAACAGTGACAGTAGTTCTAAAACCAACGGATAAAGCAGCAGACAAAGAAACAAAGGGCGACCTGGAGGCGTGTGGATGAAAAGGCGCTGCTTAAGTGCTACCTTGCAGCGCGCAGCGCTGCTTCCTTAAAAAGCGACAAAGGTGTCAAGTCAAAGGGCTGGGCGCTTATCGTAACGCGCCGCGAAAGAGGGAATCCCTGCTGACAAAGGTTAGTGGTTTCAGTTGTCCGACACTATTGTACTGACCGTATTATTGTATTTGGCAGACCAATGCAAAACTAAATGCTCAAGACTGATGTACGAATACGATGTATTCAAGAGACTTATGTGACTTAAGTGGTGCTGGCTGGGACAGCAAGATTAATGCTCCTACACTCACTGACGAAAACTGTCGTAGGAGCTTTTATCCATTCTGAAGTGATCGCGGAACAGAAATGGATTAGGACTGGTGTAGATTGACTGGAAAAAACATGGCTGGGGGGTCTCTGAGCTCAATAGCCGTGGTATAGGCTCCCTGAGTGCTATTTGCTTTTGAGTTGCCGCCTCCTGCATTTTAGCAAGCGCTTGGAGGAGCCACAGGTCATCGTCGTCGTCGTGGTCGCTGTCTACCATTTTTCCCTGGTGATTGGTCTTTTATTCTTTGTCTACCTGAGTATAATGGTTGGCGGTCGCAGACGCCTTCAAATCCAGCCTTTTCCTGATGGAACACGAACACTCATTTTTATCTTTATTTTACTTAACAAAACGACTGTTCTACAGCTCTAGCTTATTTTCAAACAAGCTGGATTTGCCCCTGCAAACCGAACACGGCCTTAAAAGTTTAGTTCTTGCAGCTCAATTTAAGTAAATGGCAGCGATTGTTGCACAGTTTTTCTTGCACGACATGCACAGTACATCATGCGAAGTCGCTTAGATATGAGACATGTAAGGTTGCTTTATCGACATAAGGTTGCTTTTGTTGAACTTGAAAAAATCAGTTACACGATCTTCAAGTTCGCATTTTGGCTACTAAGTACCGCAAACTCTTTTTTAGGTCTGACAATTCAGAGCCGCCCATTTCCATAATCCGAGAAACGAGCTCGACACGCGGCAGGTAGACGCCGCGGGATTCGTTGTACGCGGCGCGGAGGAACACAAGGCGCACAGCGCCGAAAGCACCTTCAGCTCAACGCGGGGCAATAGAGAGTGTTGGCAGAAATGAGCGGTAAGCTTCGGAAGCAAGGACTCTGTTTTCGATTCGCTCAACCGACACGGCTGTTTTTTTTCTCGCATTTCGACGCTTACGACAACACGACAGGTGGATCCCATTCTCGATGATTGTCTTTCATCGTCGACGAGCACTGAGCGCGCTGTACGGGAACTCAAAGTTAAGTGGGTTGGCTATGTCGAGCCGACTTGAGAGCTAACGTCGAGTCTATCCTGTGGAGGCTTACTTTATGATTCTCTGCGAGGCAAAAAGAGTGAGCACCGGAGCCATATGCCTCTGGTGGCTCAATAACACTAGCATGGCGTGGTCACGCGTTGAACTGACCACAGAATGATGCAGCCTGTGATATCAGACGAAAAAGGATACTGCATCAACACTTTGCCTCCAAATTTGATGATTTACGTGGACTAGATCGCGTTGTGGAATATGGATAAAGAAACACAAACATTGATGCACGACAAACGACAACCGCGAAAATTGAGTAGTGGGGGTACTTCCGGTAGCTTGCTACGCTGTAGAGGAAGGCAGGGAACCTGGTAGCGAGGATTCGATTGGCAATGTAGCGACAGTGATCGCCATGCCCCCGTACTTGGAATATACCCGTAGCGTATTCTTCAATGGGATACGGATGAACAGACCGACATCGAAGAGGCTACAGACGCCAGCGAGCCCTCGTTGGCGATGTCAACATGAAAAACAGTTGAGACAGAAGGTGCTGACAATAGCAGCGAAGGGGTCAAGGCACATCTAGTATTTTCTTGCGGTCGTTAAACATGTACGCGCCCGGGTATAATAGGTCAGGTATGGAAACAATGGGGAACCACCCACCAGAGCGTTCGCTGGGGTAGGCGCACTCGACTTTGAAGAGCTTCGCCGGCGTCTCCATTCGTCTAGCCAATGCATGGAGAGATCCGATGGCGTGGCAGAAGGTGCACCATACTCGTACACATCACTGGGGGATCGACACACATGCACATGTGGCGTCATTGACAGCACCGGTCAACCCGTACGACATACGGCGTCATGGGTGCAAACTCGTGCGACATGCCGTGACAGGCGAGCGGCACGTGTGTCAAGTCGCACGACGTGGAGTAAGATGCGATTCACGTGGATGTCACAACGGTCACCATTTCAGTGGCTCCCTTTGCAACAGAGGCAGTTGTGGTGTAGTGATTTCTCCATAATTGCCGGTAGAAAGAGGCCTGATCACGATCAAGTCGTTCAAGCTACGAAGACTCGGTCACACGATGTACGGCGACTTCAAGGTGCAAGAGACTCGACGGTGTCACTACTGAGCACTCAGCGGATATTATACGGTCCAGATGTCACCAAACCCAGGCTGTCCTTATTATTAATATTGAACTGGCCGGATTTGCATTCAGCGGCCAAAAGAACTGACCATCTAAGATACGAGCCCTCGGTGGCGGCTGGGACAAGACGAGACGTCTGTGGTCCTCCTAAAGCATCATCTGGCTGCAACGGATCTTCGTGGCAGTCGAGGGAGGGTTCGTCTACGAATTCGTCAAGCTTAGGCGTTTTTGGCTTCCATTGATCCATCACGGACAATATGCCGTTGCTGCCAAAATCGTTCGAAATGTCGCCTTGCTCGTAGTTTTCACCCACGAGATATACGCGGCGGTACACGCGGAATTAACATTCGGTACTTCGTCCATCATCTTTATCATCACATTTGTGCCATTTGGGGTGCCGGTTGCTGATTCGTTTGTAATACTGGTTGTGCACAGAAAGGGTATCTCCTCGTCACTGAGGGTGTTTCTTACAGATGTAAGCAAGTCCCCACTCGGCGTCTCGGTATCTGCCCAAGACTCAGAATGAAAACTTGTTGATGCATGAACCACCGTCGCCACACCTTGAAGACCGTGGGGACGCGCTGGTGAGGCGTTGGTCGCAATATTAAATGCGCAAGCGGCCGACATGCCGAGGCTGTGACACATGTCCTCAGACTTGGGTAACAACTGTCCTGATAATACCGCATTCGCTCCAATCTCGCAACGAACACTCGGTGCCGTGTTCATCACCTTCATCGCAACGTCTGCGTCCGCTGGACCAACCACCGATGATTCGTTCGCAGCTTTGGCTGCGCGCAAGGCCGGGCCAACATCGTCTAGACTGATGTATCCATCTGATCCAGTGCTGTTACTTGTCGTTCCCGTCGGGACCCCAGACTCGAAACGAACGCTCGTTGGTGTATGTACTACGTTTACCGTGCTCAGCAGATCGTGTGTACGCGCTGCCGAGGCTTCGTTTGCATTATTGCCTCCGCCGTGAGCTGTCGTATAAGTGTCCAAAGGACTTCCGGAAAATTGGACATCATCCGAGTCCCCGGCTGTCACCCCAGACACCAGACAGGCTTCCAATCGCTCACGTTCCTCCATGATCGTCTTCCAGCGCCCTGCACACGTCAGACATCCCCGGAGTCCTTTAGCGACTCTTCAAAGGGCGTTGCTATTACCCCACGGGGTTCTGGATAGTCTGGTCGCTCGACTGCCGAAGGCTGAGTTGCGAGCCATTGTTCGTAGATCTTACACTTTCGCTGGATCAGCTCGCGGTCTCTTCAGCCTTCATAGGCCAGCACTTGCCAACCTTGGTACTTCTTGGAGTCCAAACGCACATAGCCGTCACCTCGCGGCAAATTCCCATCTGATACCCACATAGAAATCGAGTCGTGTGCTGGTAGGTACACAGTTTGGTCAGACACATTGGTCAACCGAATACTTTGAGGCCGTCCACGCCGAAATCTCGCCACTGTCGGCATTAACTTGTCAGCTCGGCGAACCCACAGTACGTGTTTTTCCAGCTCGACTTGATGCTTCGCTAGTCGATACTCTCGCCACTCGTGCGCTTGTAATGCCAAACTCTCGGGTGGCCCGTCGTTAACATGAGCGCCGTACTCTTTACTGTCATTCATATTCTTGATCTTAATCAGTGGGATTCAAACTTCATGCGGCAATTACGCCACGCCGTGAAACAGGTCCAAACGGATCCCGGCTGGGATCATAAAGTCGGTCCCGAGTACCACGTCGATGCCTGCACTATGCGCCATGACCCACGTCTCTAATTCACACACCATCTCCCATCCTAGCGTAATCTTAACGCACGCTCGTCGTGTCGTAGATATCTTGCCTTCGCTGACTTCTTGAATGTCAATACGGCGTCCGTGATCAAGTACATCTCGGAGACGCAACTTCTTGGCAAAGGTTTCCGTTATCACACAAACGCTCACTCCTGTGTCGAGGAGAAATCGTACGCTTGTCGGTTACTGCGCATTGCACCAGAGCTCTCATTCTGATCCGTCGGTCGAATTTCCTGGCCGACCACCACCCCTGTCTCTCGCCAAGGTTCAACTTCATCATCTTGGAGTGACCCATGGGCTCGTCTCGCGCTGCACTCGAAACCACGCTGGTGCCCTCATCAGCATCAGCACGCTCCACTCTCTCCAACACCCCCACCAAGAATTTAACTCCTCCTTTTCATTCTCCGTCGCGTTCACACTTGTTATA